TGAATGAAACTCATATAATATAAAAAAAAATTAAAGAAATATGGTTTCATTGGTTCTTCAATATGGTGTGATATGCAGGGGTTAATGGCCCATTTCTGTTGGGAACCTTTTGGCAGTATTTGCACACCTTACTCTTTGTCAGAACATAATCTACAGTATACATCACACCTCAACCTCTCTGGTTACACTTCCACACCCTACATTCAGTATTATTCAATTCTAAATTTCTCATCAGAATAGATACAGTAAATTTCAGTTTGATGTAGAATTATTTTGGGGAGTGTAGTCAAGCTGAATTGGACACAATCACAACTATCACTACAGTTTGAAGAAGCTTTATGAATAATTTACTCTTGTAAATTTACTACTCCTGTAGTGTGTATACAGTTTCTTGTGGTCGTCAAAGATAACACGATCATATTTATTCCTTTCCTCCTAGTTTTCTATTGATGCTGTTAGTTTTTTTTTCTAAGTCAATTGTTGGGTGTCAGGATATAAGGGCTGAAGGAAGCAATCATAAGATCTATATATATGTATCCGCCAGGCTCCATTTCCCACACTACATAGACAGGTGTAGCTGACATGCTCTTCAATCCCTGTATTGTCTGCTATGAGGAGGTGAAATAAATGGTCCAATGTAACAATCTACTAATGTAATTCTACCAAAATCCACCTCACCCGAGGCCCTTTCAGCCTATTCAGATTGACGTAAAAGATCTCATAGCACTATGCAGTAATAATAAGAATCATTTGATATATGCCTTATCAGTAAATAGATTGTGACACACTGTAAAGCACAAATCATTGCTCCAATGACTGGATGTTTACAGCATTTAAACCTTTATTATAAGAATAATAAGAATAATAATCCTTGCTTATCACATAAATGCATTTCTAGATATCTCAAAGCGCTTCACAGAATATACTGTTAAGTGAATTGACTGTAAATTTGTGGGGGAAACGTGGCAGCCAATTGCGCACAGTAGTGTCCCACAAACAGTCGTGGATTGAGTGACCACATTATTTTTTTTGAAGGATTATTATCCCAGGAAAAGCGATCGGCCAATCGACTAATAACCAGGTTCCTATTCACTACTAGGTAAATAGAGATGTGTGGAGTAAGCAAATTTGCCCAACATTTCACCCTGTCGTTCTTGGGCATTCAGCATCTCTGCCCCCACTCCGGAACTCTATGCCTCACTCCCTCCGCATCACCCCCTCTCTTCCTCTTTCAAGTCCTGTCTAAAGACCTTCCTCTTTGACTGTGCCTATGGCCCTTCCCAATCCCTTGGCCTCCACCCCTCCTGACCCCCAACTCCCAGCTCGGGTCCAAAAACCCCTGACTGTCCAGAGCCCTGGAATGTCTTTCCAACGTGAAAGGCGCTATACAAGTGTAATTTGTTGTTATTGTTAGACTCCAGCAGTACCCCAACAATCTATCGCTAGAATTTCATGCACTGGTGGGATGCAAGGAATTCTCAGTTTGGTTTGGATATTCTTAAGTACGGTGATGGGTTTGCATGTGTCTCAGACACCTGGCTGAGCAAAGAAAAAGAAAAAAGAACCCTTTACTGGTAGTATATTTTTGTTTTGGCATTTGAACGCTCCTTTTCACAGTCAGTGGTCACCAATGTTTTTTTTTAACTAATGTACTACAGTAAAATAACACGATAGATAACCTTAGAGGAAACCACAGGAATCTAATTCTAATCGGTAAGTTTGTGCTGATGTGAATTTGAAACTGCAACTGAAAAATCGAATCCATTTGTGTCGCTGCCTAAAATGCACAAAAAGCTGAGCTGCACTTCAGCTTTGTAATCATAGACTCAGGATTTGCAGTGAAGCATTTTACATGCTTAGTGTCCCAGGGAGGCCTGTGTAAAAATGATAATAATCCTTGCAATTGATGTAGCGCCTTATCATGTCTTCGAGGTGTCTCAAAGCCCTTCACAGAATATACTGTAAAGTGAATTGACTGTATATTTTGTGGACAAAATGCAGCAGCAGCCAATTGTGCACAAAAGTGTCCCACAAACACTCGTGGATTGAGTGACCCAATTTTTTTTTGAAGGAATTATTATCTCCGGAAAAGTGATCCGCCATCAACTAATTACTGGGTTCCTACTTACTACTAAGTAACCAACACCAACAACATTACATTTGTATAGCGCCTATATATATTTATAATATATATAATATATATATATAGTCCATGATTGGAAAGCTGAAGTGCAGCTCAGCTTTTAGTGCAGCGACACAAATGGATTGGATTTTTCAGTTGGAGTTCCAAGTTCACATCAACACAAATTTACCGATTAAAATTAGATTCAGAGTCATATGGAGTTAGAAAACTTGCCCAACCTGCCCTGCCGGGAATCAAACCCAGATACTTGCGTGTGAGGGGAGTGCTCTAACCACTGAGCTACAGGTCTCCACAATGGACTCCACATTCTCCTCATTGGACGCCTACAGGACTCCAATGGGAAGAAATTCCTTATGGGTCTAGTTTCACTCAATTTCCTTAAGATTTCAGAGCTTCCAGAATTTGTCAAGTTCTTCAATTAGTCACAACTTTGAAAAACGGCTTCAAAGTCGAGACTAAATTCAACAATTTGCCTAGTTCTGGATGTTCTGAAACCCTGAGGGAATGAAGAGTAAATCCTTCTTTATTACTTTATTTCCTTAGGATTTCAGAACATCCAGAAGGATTTTTTTTACCGTACATAGAAGGTAAAGAGACATTCATTTTTTTATGCTAATGAAATAAAGTACTGAGCCTTGAATCACTTGATTAAAGGACTGCAGATACTGTATAACATAATCATAAAAAAATTGACAATATGGCTATGTGGAAGAAATGTAAATGTGTATCTATATGCAGGTAACACATGTAGGTGATACAATGTAGGCGTGTTGGTATATAAAAATATACTGCATATTCATATGTAAACATGGATGTATAAACATATGTGATGGACATGTATGTGTTTGTATATATTAATCCAGGGTTCCTCAATTAACCAAGAGAAGTCAGAGGTTTGGGATTAAAAGATCCTGTAAAATCTAATAAACTGGCTGGACAAGCTTGATGGACTGAATGACTTCCTCCTGTTCCTACTTTCCTATGTTCCTATTCACTTCTTTTTCATTCAATCCAAAACTGCCCGTGCTCGTCTACAACTATACAATCATTACACTTTACAGTATATTCTGAAAAGCACTTTGGGACATCCACCTGACTTGAAAGGGACCATATCAATTGCAAGGATTATTATTATTGCTGTGAAGGTACACTTAAAATACAATTTATTTTCCAATTCCATGACTGCAAAGCTGACGTGCAATTCTGCCTTTCATGATTCAAGGAATACAACAACAACAAAATTACATTTATAGAGCGCCTTTCACGTCGGGAGGACGTCACAAAGCACTGAAATAGTTTTCCTTTGGCTGGATCTGTAATATCAAATAGCCATTATCTTGCGCAACAAAAAATATAGAAGAATTAGAGGGGATCTTATAGAAACCTATAAGATCACCAAAGGGCATGATAGAGTAGATAGTGGGAGATTGTTTCCCCTGGTTGAAGAAACTAAAACCAGAGGTCACAACCTTAAAATCAGAGGCCAGCACTTTCGCACTGAGTTGAGGAAGAACTTCTTCACTCAAAGGGTGGTGAATGTATGGAACTCACTACCCCAAAGGGCTGTTGACGCTCAGTCCTTGAACATATTCAAAACTGAGATAGATAGATTTCTTATTACAAAAGGGATTAAGGGATATGGGGATAAGGCAGGGTCAGGTTATTAGCTGGAGTTAGATTAGAAGATCAGCCATGATTGAATAGCGGGGCAGGCTTGAAGGGCTGAATGGCTTACTCCTGCTCCTACATGTTATGTTATAAAACTTGCCAGTTGAAAGTAACGCTTCCGATTATGAGTTTTGTCCTCATTTCCTTGTATTTGTGGTTAACTCTTGTTTTACACCTAACAAGGTGCAAGCTAACAAGGTGTGCATTTCAGATTTCAATCTTGCAAAAAAAACTGCCTAGCTTATTCAGAAGCTTTAATGGGGTGAAGCTGAAAGGATGTTCTTCAGTTCACAAGTTTTTTTAAAAAAATGCAATATTGCACGTGAAAAAAGTTCACAAGATTGATCTGGTAAAGAAAGCCCTTCGACCCATCTGGGCGCAATACTCCAAAACACTCACCCTTCCATCTCCCCAGCATCAAGCTACTTTTTAAATGGGTCCAGTGTCCTGGCCTTTTCTGGCAATTTGTTCCAGTTGTTGATTGGAACTGTGCCTAGTTCTGGATGTTCTGAAATCCTGAGGGAATGAAGAGTAATTCCTCTTGGAACGTGTAACAGTGGCGGAGTTTGAGAAAAGGTAAAGAAAAACTTACTGGTATCTGTCCTGAAATTGCCAATTGCAACTCTAAACCTATGTTTTCTTGTTCTGCTGTCTTGAAACATCCTAAAGTATTGGTCTGGGTTTACTTTCTCTTTTCAAAATCTTACTTTTTAAATCTCATTTAAATGTTATACACCTCTATGAGGTCCCTTTGGAGCCCTCTGCTCTTAAGACTGATGAACTTGTCTAATCATTCCTGTTATTGAATTGCACAACTGTGCCACAGTGATCTTAGCAAAGGAACTGTTTCTCATCTGCTATGTAACCAAATTAGATGCAACACAGTATTTTCAAACGTTAAGAAGCATTTCGTTGTTAATAAAACGAGGAGAAAGAGCATCTCTGGTAGAAGGTTTAAGTGGTTTGTTCAGCAGGTATAGTACAGCCCTTTCTCCTTGCTGATCTGCAGTTGTCATCACTTTCCAAAAACCAGCAAGAATAACAGGCAAGACAATTGAGGGAATCTATCATAAATCCAGTACTCACTTTCTCTCCAGTTCTCACCTGACGGAAAGAAAGTGCAATATAGCATATAGACGTCAATGCATTTCCTGTCGCCTTGTCCTTATCAGACAGTCAGTTCTGTGCTCTGTGAATGAAAGCAGCATCTCACAACTACTTTGAAACCGTGGATGACTTACTAAAGAGCCATACAATTTCAGTGGTGTTCACAAGGCGTGTTACAGGATGGGATCCGCAGACAGTAGGTTACTTTATATACTTTCTATATATATATATACAGACACATATATATTCTTCCTCTTTCTCCAAATGCACTGTTCATTTCACAGCAACGTCAGGCACAAATTCTCGAAAGCTGGTTAATTCATTCAGTACTCTTTGCACCAGTTTTAAGTCTGAATTTCCTTCAGTGCTGCCTCTTTCATTGCACGAAGTTAAATTTTTTTTCTCAATGGAAATAATTAGATCAGATTAGGATTTTTTTTAAGAGAGAGAGAGAAAATTTTTTGGGGGAGTAACTGGAATAAATCCGTGACTGGAGATGGTTTTAAATCGCATTCACGTCTCAAAATGTCGCTTTCCATCTGATCCAGCAAATTAATTAATGAGATCTGCAGAGTTGAAATCTATTTGTTTTTTTAATTAATTTTTTTTCGGGGGAGCAAATTACAGATTGTAACGGAAATTGCTAATCCCTGCCGATCGCTTGTATTTTGTTTTTTTTGGGGGGGACAGTAGACGATTTGAAACTTTTCCAGTTTTACAGCTGTAACAAAAGATCAAACTGCAACCTTGCCACCACAAGCGACATGAGGTCCAAGAACTAACTAACTAACTAACCAACTATAACTAACTAACTGTCTGCTCCATGTAAACCCAGAGACACGTTAAAGCTATAATAGCGACAAGCTGTTGATACATTTAGAAGCAATGATTGCAGTGTTGATCACAACACTCCCATCCAGTGCTGACATGGGATGGGCTACTGTTGAGGAATACTGTTATCCTTTGCTTATTTTCACCTGGCAAGTTGTAGGCAGGAACCTCACAAACAAAAAAGGGTTTGGTTAGACCTTGTATATGGTGCATATGCGCAAAGAATGGATCTGATAGCGCCTTTTAGCCTCCTAGGTCTTTTGTAATGTTATTTTTTATTACCTTGCAGGTCTTGTCACAATACCGTGACAGTGTAAAGTAAATATAGCTGTTTGTGGGACATTGCTGTGTGCAAATTGGCTACCTTGTTGGCCTACAGAATTTAATTTACAATAAATCTTGTGAAGTGTTTTGAGATGTCCTCTTGACTCCAAAGGCACTATATCAGAATGCAAGGATTAACTCTCTAACACACACACTCAAATATTATTGAAAGGAATCTAACCATTGCTAGCAATCACTGACCAGACAATGGCACTAAAACTGCAAAGTGGAGGGATTGAGCTTGAGAATGTTTTTTTTGTTTTAAATCTGACTTTAAAGTTTGCAAAGGCCTCATAGAAAATCTGCAATCCCTAATGTTTTGTAAAGTGGCTCGGCAGCCAGTGCCCTAAAGGTCTGTAATGAAACACCATAGAATGGTGTGTGAACCAGGCTGTATAGAAATACAGCGAATTCTCACTGTTGCTAATTGCAGAAGCAGTGGAGACAATTTATTAGAACAGAACGCAATATTTGTCTTGAATTTTAGTAGAACAAGTGGTTGTCTGTTAAGTTTTAATAAGTTTAATAATTTATCTCTCCAGATTTAGCCAATTGCAGTACTCCATTCTGGATAATGCTGGGCATCACTTTGTTAGCTCTGATAATTTCCCTTATAGTGAATGTCATCTACTGCACAGCAGCACCTCGCAAAGGTAAGGACCTTTGTAAAAGTAAATCCTGTATTTTCACCATGTGTCTAAATATTAAATAGTGTTTCAGGAGTACACGTTGACTTTAAAGTTACACTTGAAGCTTTCATCGTCAGCTGAACATTGATCTTTCTCTTATTCTTAATCTATTTTTTAATTGAAGAAGTAAGAGTCCGAAACCCTCTGTGCCCTTTACCATTGCAATCTCCTCCAATTCCCCTCTCCCACCCACAATCTCTGTTCCACAAACTAGGGCCTGCTCTATGGGCCTTACTCCTTCTGCCCACCCCACTTCCCCTCATTGTTGTCGGAGCTTTCATTCACTTGGTCTCTGCTCTGTAACTCTGTCTGAAAAGCTCCCCGTCTGTCTGTCTGTCTGTCTTGTCTGTTTGTCTCCAAAACCTTTGTAAAAAAATACTTCTTCGACCGTGCCTTTAGTCACCTTGCTGGTAACCTCCTCCTTCCATTTTCCACATTGCTCAGAGTTTCCACACCATTCCTGTGAAGCACTCTGAGACGTTATGCTAAGGTAACAGGCAACTTACGTGAGTGAAAGCTCCTGTAGGCCTTCATATTATAAGCACAATACTGTATTAATCGCAAATCCTAAATTGGCTAAATCCAGCACTTTACGAAATATTAAAGATTGCGGTCTAGGAGGCATTTGCAAACTTTCAAGTCAAATTTAAAAACAAAAAACTTTCTCACGCTCAATCCCTCCACTTTACCCTCCCCTTGCCACTGTTCACATATGAACACTATGTGAAGACCTTCCTCTTTTGACCATGCCTGCGCCACCTCCCCTTTCTTCCCGGCTCAGTGTCAACCTCAGGCACTGTTAAGCATCCCAGGACACTACCCCGCTTGAAAGGTACTATATAAATGTAAGTTGTTGTTGTACACACAGACACTAATATACTGTTTTTTTGCGCTATGAAAGCGCCTACAAAATACACATTCACTCCACTTTACAGTATATCCCGTTAAGCATATATTTTGAGACATCCTGAAATAAAAGGCACTGTATCAAATATAAGGATTATTGTTATTATTATTGTAAGGAAGATGGGGGAAGGAAGTGGTGATCTTAAAAGCAACATTCACACACTGATTTTTTTGTCCTGATATGTAAGGTGCTGTTTCAAATGTAAGGATTATTATTGTTCATATTATAGAGGAGATGGGGAGAAGAGCAACATTCTTTATGTTAATTCTGGACTCCATTTTGCAAATATTGGATTACTGGGGAATTGTGGATCTCAACAGGGCAAAATCTGAAAGCCAGTAAACAAAACAGCTGGTGTTTTGCATTCGTACCTCCACAGACCCTGCAATACTAAGTGTAATTGGTGCAACGTTAGTGGTTCCGCACTTGATTTTTAAACATGTCAAAACATCTTGCGATCACAGTATTTCAGGTTGCTGAAGAACCACTCTTGCTAACAGTACGTGTTTCACTTGGGATGCAAATGCTGTTATGGGGAGATGTTGTGCATGCAAACCTAACCACATGCCCAGAGTTCTTCTTTGCCGAGTGCTAGCAGTGTAACAGAGTACTGCTGGCTGCTCAAACTCCCAGCACAATAAAGAAATAATAAAGCAGATACCGGTTTCGAACCAATGACCATCGTGAGTTTAAAACCACGAGAGACAGCTCAGCAACCCTTGCTGCAATGTTCTCCTTGGGTTAGAAATGACCTAAGGTCTATTCATGAGTACTTTCCTGAGGCTGGGCCAAGCTAACAGTAAATCCCTGGTAGAACAAAGGAAATGGGAGGAAATTTGGTTTTAAAAAAGGACAGTTTGCTTGTTTCTTTGTTTGTTTATGTAAAAAAAACGGTTTCCAGTTAAGACTGGAGTTAGGAATTTTCCAGCGTTCTATGCAATGATCTTACCTTTTAAGAGAAAATGGTTTTAAGAGGCTGAGTCTGAATACTAACAGTAAAAATCCTTGCATTTGACTCTGGTGCCTTATCACATCTTCGAGACGTCTCAAAGTGCTTCACAGAACATACTGTAAAGTGAATTGACTGTATATTTTGTGGAGGGAATGAGTGGAAGTTTTGATCTCCTGGAGGCAATAAGCCAAGGGAATTTTGTTACATAATATAATAATGATCATATAACATGGCCTAGGATCATTCCCCCCTCCCCAGCTTGCTTTTGATCTCCCAGAATCCGAGATCAGTATCAGTGTACACTAAAGACGGTGGGATTGGAGTAGTTTGATTTTAAAGCACAAACAACACTATACACACACACACTCGCTTTTCGGCTCACTTTCTTGGGTGCACAAATCAATCTTTTTGTGCTGCGTCTGGACTTTGGGTAAAAACACTGCCTTGTTGAGCTACACACCGCGTTGAGCTCATTGGCATCTTGCCTGGAGGAAACAGTACAAGTGCAGGGCGACCCTACGAAAGGGTAATGTGTTGTTTGTAAGTCTGGATCAGAGAGAGTTAAGAGTAACAGCAGCTGCTCTTTTGGTGGGTGCGCAAATAACACTCCACGTACAGAGAGCGCAGCAATCGCTTTGCAATTGCTGCACACAAATCCAGCCCACAGCCCACTCTGTGTGATTTTTAAAAAAAAATACAATACCTATCTGGACGCAGATCATTATTTTTTGTGTCAATCTGGAGGTTAAGGAAACAGACGATGCTCACATTTTACCACAGGATAGCGCTGGGTAAGTAGGTTTGTTGCAAAGTATTTTTAATCAAGCAAAAAAAATCTGGTTGATGGTCAAACTTCCTGAAGAACATTGGGCTGATTCGATCTGCTCTTTGCAATCTCCTTTGCAGCAAAATGCATGCACCAGCGGTGTGTGACCTGAGCTTCATTTCAGCTCCCATTTGCTCCATCGTTTTGTAAATGTGTTCACTGATACACGACTGGAGCGCAATTTGAACTGATGAGCAACCGGGTGGTAAAATTGTACGTTTAACACGTTTTGTAGGGTATAAAGAAATAGCAACATGTCTATCTGTGTGTCTGTGTGTGCAAATAAAAAAACTTAAACTTTCCCACAGCCACCAAAAACATGCCACGTTCAGTAGTTCCGAAATATTATCAGATCAAAACTCACGCATTCACTGTGTGTTTGCCTCAGCAGTCCATACTTTTAATTTCTTCTTAGAAAAAAATCTGCAGTGTTAACATGTGGATGTTTAACTGTGCTGAAATCACTGATAATGTTACCGTGGACTCTAATAATAATAATAATCCTTGCATTTGATATAGCGCTTTTCACGTCTTCTAGACGTCCCAAAGCGCTTCACAGAATATACTGTAAAGTGAATTGACTGTATATTTGTGGGCAAACGCAGCAGCCAATTGCGCACAGCAATGTCCCACAGACAGTCGTGGATTGAAAATGACCAATTTATTATTGTTTTTTGTTTTTTTGGAGGGATTATTATTAGGCTCTGTGTGGAGTAAGGAAACTTGCCCAAGGTTTCGCCCTCTGCCTGGAATTGAACTCCGGTCTCTCACTTGCAAAGCGAGTGCTCTAACCACTGAGCTACAGGACTCTATATCCCATCCCAGCCCATCCCTCCTGACCGTTCATTCCCCCAAATAAATAGGGTCGTTTTGGGTTACGAATGGAGGAAAGCAATACCAAAACAGCCGTAAAAACACATTGTTTTTGCTGATACATTCGGTTTAAGACAGCCCACACCTGCAGATCAGAAGTTTGGGGAACTGCAACTATCACCAGATTTCCCCTTCCAACAAAACACCTGTTACCCCAGTCACAGAATGACAAGTCCTTTCCAGATGACTTGTCTCTCTGTCTGTCTGTCTGTCTTTCTCTGTCTGTGTTTGCCTGTTTTTTTGGGGGGGGTGGGGATGTCTGTTTTTTTTTCTTTACTTGATTTAGATGTTTCGTCTGATTTTTCAGTTCCGGGGCCAAAATACACAGCGGAGGTCAAACACACGCACAGGTAAGCAAACTGCACCTGTCACAGATGGTTTTAAATATGGAGAGAGAGAAATAAATAAATGTATTCCTCAATATCTGTGCAGTAGGGGAGGGTCGGTGTTTTCTCTAATGCAGTATGACAGTGTCAACTTGGCTCAGTTGGTAGTGCTGTCACCTGAGTTAGAAGGATGTGGGTTCAAGCCCAACCTGTGGGGGATTTTGAGCTCACAGTCCAGGCTGACACTTCAGTGCAATACTGGGGGAATGCTGTTTTGTCATAGTGCCGCCTTTCGGGTGAGATGTTAAACCTGGTTGAGACGTTAAAACCGAGGTTCCTGTTCAGGTGAACATTAAAGACTTCATGATACTATATTAAAAGGAGAAGGAAATTTCTTCCGGTGCCCCAACTGACAATCCTACAGATAAAATTGATCATTCACTTTATGCCTGTTTGTGAGGCATTGCTGTGTGATGAGACGTTTTGACATGATCGGGTGCTGTACTAAATTCAAAAAACATCATTAGTATCAATAATAATATTTCTAATATTAGTATTAATTATGATTAATAAAACATATTTGTAAACCCAGTCCGGCTAAAGGTAGTAAAATGCTATAACTAAGTTGTTATACTTTGATTATCACAATAAATTATCGACCTATACAATCATAGCTGGCATGAACTATCCAAGCTAACCACTTGGGGTGGAGTAATATTGTTTAACATCAGGGGAGCTGAGAATCTCATATCCATTCATGATTACAAACATCAAAATAGGTGTAAATGTAACTGTTCATACCTAGCTACATACACTGTGCGGAATCCCAAGATTGGCCGATTTGCCTCTAAGTGTAGTATGTGCTTTTGCAAATTTTACTGTCCACACACAATGGACATTTCTATGTGACCTCTGGCCCAGTGTGCATGTGCCTATACATTTCAGAGAAAGCTGGAGTATACTGTTTTGGCACAGTAGGGTGGCAATATTCTCCTGACAGATGGATATCATGATACCACTCAGGAACAAAATATATCTTATCTGTAATTGATCGATTCAATTCTATTCTATAATACAAAAGGGAGACGTAGCCTTGAAATCATAGCCAGACAGTTAAGAGCTGAGGTCAGGAAGCATTTCTTTACGCAGAGTTGTGAAGACGTGGAACCCTCTGCCCCAGAAAGCTGTTACACGTGGAATCCACATGGATGCTTAAAAGATAGACAGATTCTTGGGCAGTAATGGTATTAAGAGATATTAAGGGATATGGAGAGAGGGCAGAACATTGGGATTAAAAGATCTGACAAGATCTAACACACTGCTGGATCAGACTCAGTGGGCTGAATGGCCTCCTACTGTTCCTGTTTTCCATGTTCCTAATAAATTTGTTCGGAAACACCTCATTTGATTTTTTTTTACACACACAGCCTAAAATCGTTTCCTTCTTCTCCTGAAAGTGCTGGCCCAAGGTGAGTTTCCGCTGGTGTTGGCTGCTGACCCAATGGCTCTTTCTTTATGCGTGAGGCTAGATAGTGAGACCTGGCAGGCCATTCGAACAGGAGGAATACCAGCCGAGTGTAATCCAGTTGACAACCTATGGACAACCTATGGACCAATAGTGCTGAGATCAGCAAATTCAACATTGACTTGAGAGGCATTATAACCAAGACTGACTAATCCAGCCCTACATGTGTACATTTTTCTCTCTCCACAATAGAACAACATTATGTAATCATGATTTAGTGTTTTCTTTAATATTGCAATATTCTGTTTTTTGTTTCTTCAGTTTGGTCAGTCTGGAGATTGAGGAAATAGATGATGCTCCAATTTACGGCAATGTTGTCCAGGATAGCGTTGGTATGTTCAATTCAAAGTACTTTAAACAAAATTGAGTCTGATTGATCAAACCTCTGAAGAGCATAGGGCGTATTCTGCTGTGTGCACTCCTTTGCAGAACATTCAATAGCTGTGAACTGAGCTTCACTTAGCTCCAATTGCTACATTTTGTGAATTTAGCCCCCAAAACATAGCCAACTCACTTTGCAGAATATTCTGAGAAGCACTTTCACATGATTCAAAGTGATAAGGTGCTATATTAAATGCAAGAATTATTATTATTATTGCACACTTCTAAAATAATTAAACAGTTTCAACTTATAAAGAATGTGTTGTAAATTATATATTGAACACATTTTATATTTATAAGCAAATAGGAACATATTTGCAAAACATACATAAAACAGACCAGAAAGCACTTACCCACAGCCACAAAAAATTGCTACACGGAGAGCACCGAGCAGTAATATCCCCTGTGTATCAACAACAGCAAAATTATATTTGTAAAGCGCCTTTCAAGTCAGGAGGCCGTCCCAAGGCGCTGAACAGTCGGGGATCAGAACCCAAGCGGGGTGGGGGGTGCAGGGTTGGGGTGAGGGAGGGCAGGGAGCTAGGAGGGTGGGTGAAGGCACGGTCGAAAAGGAGGGTCTTGAGTTCTTTAAACTTCCAATGTGAAAAATAAACCTCTTTTAGAAATAAAAATATGGCAAAATGTTTTCAAATATAAAATTTCTGCTCTACTGCTTTACCTTTTTGAAATGCATTTTTCAGTTTACTTTAATTTATTTTGTTACTCCATTGCACATTTCGACTTGCACAGTTCTCTGTGGGTTGGTTCTGTGCCTTTGGTGGAGTGGCTGTGCTCATCTGCTGGCAACAGCGAGGTTCATTTGTGGGAAGGATTTCATTTTGTTTAGCTCCCTGAGGTTTAGCTGAACTGGGGAAAGCAATCCTTAGTTTTGATCCTTCCTGCTCACATTAATGGATAATCCTCCTGGGTGGGAGTCACTGCCTTTGCCTGGCTGTGGGTTGGTTCTTCTTTTGTTTGCTCGGATCTCCTGCTGACACTCATTATGGAAGTTCCCATGTGAATAAAAACATTGAGATCTCAAAGGACAAACCAGTGCTGTGGGGTAATAATCCATTCAAAAAAAATCGACAGTCACTCAATCCACGACTGTTTGTTGGACATTGCTATGCGCAATTGGCTGCCACATTTCACCCACAAAATATACTGAATATACAATTCACTTTACAGTATATTTTGTGAAGTGCTTTGATACTTCTCAAAGATATGATAAGGTGCTATATCTAATGCAATAATTATTATTATTAAAAGGAGTCAAATGCCTTTAAGGGAAGAGGAGAGAGGAAATAGGAAAGAAAAAGAATATGCCGAAGAACAAATATAAATAAATTTGTTTAACATTTGCCTTAGATAGTCCTTACATTTTTTGTATCATTTAAAGTTTAGTACATGCTAACTTAAAGAATAGCAATTTGCCAGATATCTGCAGTCCAGCAGGATACTTATAAGTTAAAACAGAGAACGCTGAAAACACTCAGCCTGATCTGCTGAGTGTTCCCAGTGATCTGTTTTTGTTTAAGATTTCCAGCATCTGCAGTATTTTGTGGTTAACTTACTGAGTTATGCTGCTTCTGCTCTGTTCCAGCAATAGGGCTGAAAGTTCGGACTTTAGTGATGTGGGATCATAATGATCATAAGTCATTATTGCAATGGGTTTAAGGATTTGTTGAAATGTGCCTTAACTTAGGTGCAGAAATCACCACCTTTCTGGTTCAATGTGAATTATTCCATTTATCACTATACTATCTCAATGCTTAGTATTGAATTATGGGCAGTTCTACTGTTTTGAGTTTTCATCCTGTGTCCAGACCGGAAAGGGTGAATTGCACTTCACTTGGACCCTGAACCGATAAGACTTTCATTCCCAAAGGTGAAAGGAGTGTGCAAACTGAGTGCAAAACCTAGTACCCAAATGTTACCTTAAAAATATTTTTATTTCGAGATCGGACAGTTATTTGCAAACCTGTTTATTAACTATTGTAAATGTTTGTGTAATATGAAACCTGCAGAAAATAAACCTCATGGATAATATTGTGCAAATCCCCAATGGTAATATAAAATGCATTTTTTTTTATCTTTAAAGAAGACCAAAATGAAAGCTGTTATGAGTCCATGACACCAGCGAATAAAGCTGCAGTTGACATCAAGGTATTTATACCAAAGTGATAGGTTATTAACAGCTCAATGCACCTTATATTGTTTCCTTTTAGCCAGACAATTCATATTTCACTGTATTAAATTAAGTGCTCCGATACACTTCCCCACAGTATATAAATGCAAGTTGTCGAATGTTCATTAGTATCAGCTCTAACTCAGCGTTAAAAATTTCTGTTCTATTTTATAGCACATAGTATGGAGATGGTAGAATTGTTTTTGCAAAAATAATTTTTTGTTGAGTGAAATTTTGCTTCCAAGTCCAGTTTTACATCCACGAAAACTCTAGACTTGAAGTATTAATGATAGAATCCCACAGCTAGATGCAGAAAAAATACAGAAAAATCCTGAAGGGCTGGTAATTTCACAGTAACTGGATGAGTAAACTCATCTGTGTTACTGAGAAGTTTGGAACTGTGGATGTTCTTCACCAGATTTCAATTCATGCTAATTCTAGCATCACAATGCTTTCGTGAGAGACTGGGTGATTTGGGTAACTTCTGCAACCCCAGGAAATTATTTGAAGCCGTCTTGAAATATTACGCTAATGGAAAGTTATATATTTCCACTGGCGTAACATCACAGCAAATAGTATTTGATACTAACTATATGTGGATCTGGCCTTTCATTTGCACTCGTTGAAGGGTCGTTGGTGATAAGCCATTATAGACTATGTGACCAATCATCGGTTTTCTAGTATAAAAAGAGACTCAAATGTATCTTGAGGGCACATCATGGGGGATTTTGTATCGTCACTGAAGGCGACAATAATATCATCTGAAAGCTCATTGTTGTGGTTATAATGTGAAACAGATATTTGATTACAATATGCCGTTACGTGCATTCGCAGGTGGCGGAAAGCAGTCAAATGTGCTATGCATCTCTAGACCTTTCTACAGAACAGAAAAAACGGCACAGAAAGATGGAAAATAAGCAAGTGAATTACGATGAGCTAGATCTACTGGAGGATGATAATCTGCCACTGAAATCTAACACGCTGCGATCAAGGACTAGCATTTATCTGAACAGTGACCAACTTGTTTTTAATGGAGCTACAAAGCAAGAGGAAGAAGAAAGTATTCACGCTGACCCAATTAAACTGTACAGCATGATAAATGCAACTCGGAGTGGAATGCCGATATCCGACAACAATATAGAAACTGGATTTGAGAATTCAAACAATGACGTTAGCGAATACTAGTGTGACCAACGCTGGTTATGAAAGAATCCAGCATTGAAGGGTATGTGTAGAAAGGACAGGATTTGGGCATTGCGGCAAGGGATTGCTCTCGTAGTTGCATTTTTGCACTACTTTGTGTGAAAACATGAAAACAAATTCTAATCTAGTGCTTTTGGTCAAAACATTTCGAAGATGGCAATCTCTACTAGAAGACAATTTCACAATTGATAATCCATTTTATCCCTCAGTGAAGGGAGCTCTGGTTGAAGCACACAATATATGCATATGCTGTGCCATACCTCATATCGAAATGAAGCATTTCAGAAAAGGACAACAAGCATTAAAAGAGCCATAACCCTACATCTCTGAACAGGTAGTAAGACTGGAGATGTTTGATTTATTAAAATCAATGTATCATTGTTTCAAGACCTTTTGCGAGTTGTAGTCATTAATGTGAAATAATTCTATGCTTTTTAAAGTAAAATATTTTGAAAATTTAGCATCGTTATTCTTCTCTTTAGTTGTTACAAGTGAATTTTCAGCCTTAAAATGTTAAATGTAAATTATCTCCTGCGTTTACTTTTTTTAAAACAATTAAATTATACTATATGATCGTAACTTAAGGTTTCCAAATGTATTTTATATATGTCGTGGGTGATGAATAGATTTAAAATTAGTGTTGAGAATAAGTCTATACAGTCAACAGGACTCCTGTAGCTCAGTGGTTAGAGCACTCACCTCGCAAGAGATATTTAGAAGACGTGAAAAGCGCTACATCAAATGCAAGGATTATTATGTGTATATATAATGTATATTATATAATATATATTATAACATATAATATATTGTATAATATAAACAAGTTATTTCAGTTAATGTAAAGGTCCTTCTACAAACAGGAAATTTGTGCCTGCAGCGGAATAAAGACTGAAATAACTAATAATTCTACCAGGTTTATTCTTATGTTAATTCTGAACTGCTGTTACTATTTATATTGAGCATTTTGTTCTATGTGTACATAAAAAAAATTGTGGGTTCACTATCCCATTACAATCCTGGAAACATTTGCTGTAAAATTCTAATGTTGATTATAAAGTAAAGTGGAACTACAGTACTACAAAAAATCAGTGATTCTTTATTCACAACACTGACTATATCTGTAACATTATTCATGTTTATCCATGAATAGCAGTTACATTAGGCTAATAATCAAACTGCTGCAATTTAAAATGCAAATCAGTTTTTCCCTCTGCATTAATCTTCTACCTGTTCTCCAAAATGCATCAACCTATCCTGGTATATCCATTCCAATTACTCAGACAAATTGTGAACGATGGAAGCCAGTGCAACAGTGGATGGGTATCACAGCTAAGTGAAATCCTTTTTTCACCTGCTTGCCTCCACACCTCAGGCGCTAACAGCATCACTATCCAAGGATGCACATTCCACCTCACTGAGCCAGTCCGGAATCTTGGCATCTTGTTTGACCGTCAACTATCCCTTCTATCCCACATCCGTGCCTGCCTTCCCCGGGCCTGCTCCAACACTGTCTCACACCACAGGCCGCCAAAACCCTCATGTATGCATTCATAACATCCTGTAGCTCAGTGGTTAGAGCACTTGCCTCACAAGCAAGAAACTTGGGTTTGATTCCTGGCAGGACAAAACCTTGGGCAAGTTTCCTTACTCTACACGCCTGATAATAATCCCTCAAGAAAGAAAATACTAATTTGGTCACTCAATCCACGACTGTTTGTGGGGCACTGTTGTACGCAATTGACTGCCGCGTTTCGCCCACAAAATATTACAATCAATTCACTTTACAGTATATTCTGTGAAGCGCTTTGAGACGTCGCGAAGACGTGAAAAGTGCTATATCAAGTGCGAGGATTATCATTATTCAGGATTGGCTGTTCAAACTCCCTGCTGGTCAGCCTCCCCAATTCCTCCCTCCATAGGCTGCAGATCATCAGAACTCTGCAGCTCGTGTTCTATCCCATACCAGGTTCTGTGACCCTATCACCCCCATCCTCGCCCGACTCCACATCACACAGAGGATAGTGTTCAAGATCCTGGTCCTCATCTTCAAAGCTCTCCATGGCCTCATTCCTCCCTACCTCTAGGCCTCCTAAACCCCTACCCACCAACCCGCTTCCTCTGCTCAGCGGACTTCGGCCTGCTTCACGCTCCCACCTTGCCCACCCCACCATTGGCGGGTGAACATTCAGCCACTCTGCCCCTACCCGCTACTCTATCTCGCAGTCCCTTTGCTTCGCCCCCTCGCTTGCCCTCTTGAAAAGATACGTCTCAAGACCTTCTTCCTCGATCATGCCTTTGATCACCCTCCATCCCCCTCTGCCCTCCACCCTCCCCCGCTGCCTTCCACTCTCCCCGAACCCAGCTCAGGTCTGAAACACGGATTGTCCAGCACCTTAGGGCATTCTTCCAACGTGAAAGGCGCTATACAAATGTAATTTTGTTGTTATCATAGTTTTCCAGCAGGAGTCACTGGATGGCAATAAAGATCTCTAACTCAATTTCTCCCTCCCTAATCCAGGGGCATGGAAGCCAATTGCGGCTATCTCAGTTGCTGACAGGGAATAAGAGGGAGCAGGCATTAAAGCTGAGCTCAAGCCTGCCCTCACCATCTATAGTCCTCGGTCTCTGATAGCAGTCAGAGAGTTCTTCTTATAAAGCATGGAGTCCTGTAGCTCAGTGGTTAGAGCACTCGCTTTGCAAGCGAGAGACCCGAGTTCAATTCCAGGCAGGTCAGGGCGAAACCTTGGGCAAGTTTCCTTACTCCACACAGAGCCTAATAATAATCCCTCCAAAACAAAAACAATAATAAATTGGTCAATTTTCAATCTTCGGCTGTTTGTGGGACATTGCTGTGCGCAATTGGCTGCCACGTTCGCCCACAAATATACAGTCAATTCACTTTACAGTGTGTTCTGTGAAGCGCTTTGGGACGTCCTCCTGACGTGAAAAGCGCTATATCAAATGAAAGGATTATTATTATTATTAAATGCAATTTGTTGTTGATGTTGTTGTGTATTTATTTTCAATAACTTAATACTTCATAGTATCATCATATTTATGTTTGTTTCTCTAGGGAGCAGAAAATTAGAACTTTAGAAAAATAAGGCATATCCTAGTAATAATTTACCATGGATATGAACTAAAGCCTCAAGTTATTCAAGCATAGCTACTGAGACTCAGTATTTCTTCGCAATAATAATCTTCACATTTGGTATAATGTCTTACGTTAAGGGTACGTCCAACACACTTCACAAGATATACAGCGCTGTGACTGTGTGTTTTGTGGGCAAACAAGATAGCCACATGCACTGCAAGACATAATGCAATGCAAAATAATGTGTCCTGCTTGTAAATTCTCATCTTGCATCGAGTTAATTACTTGAATTACTACAGCAGTCTTTACTGTTGCACCCTTTATTGATGTGTACCAATCGATAGAAAAGGTTCTATATAAACATTTTTTTAAATATCAAACTAAAACCATGGAATATTTCTCTCAGGCAAATATTTGGAAATGTTATCTCCCATGACCAGCTGAATACATTAATGTAGATAACTAGCCACAAATAATACTAGACAGTGTATCATAAAATTAAAAAAAAGTACTGTAACAAAATACATCTGAAGAAAACAAAGCCAAGGCATCTTAGGAATTGGATTGTTAATGAGATACAAATGTTAAGAGCCCTGGATTGTAGGGGGATTCTAAAAACATGGTTATAAAGTATTATTGTTACTCATTTAAGATTGGATTAAATTAATTTAAAAAGAAAAATTTTATTTTAAAAAGAACCTTAGCTGGAAGATATAATTCATATAAGCTCTCCACTGCCATGATTCGCGTGTTTTCTAGTACATTATGTCCAGGGTTCAAGCAATCTACTGCACCAGTTGAATTATATTGCTGCTGGTCAACATCGCTTTTTGAAGGGAGAAAACAACAACAAATTGCATTTAGATAGCACAACGGGAGGACATCCCAAGGCACTGAAAAGGGGAAAGAGAAAGTAAGCGTTCATTTAAAATTAGCTTACAAACACGTTCAACTTCGTGCAAATCACAGAAACACATTTCTCCTGAAACTGTATAGTTTTCTCATCATGAAGTAACTGAAGTCTGGGCTTTTCACGTTGGTGAGTTTGCTGTGTTGTAGTCCAGTTTTCTAGACACTCTGTTGATACAGCAGAACAAGTTACATTGAAGTTTTATTTATTTTTTAACCAATCTTGATGTGCAAATTCTCATAGCGCTAATTTTATACCACTGTTATAACTGGATTTAGGATACCATTTTCAAAAATAGCAAAATTGGTAAGGCATCAACTAAACATCTAAAATACACCAAAAGATAAAGCACACACTAAAGCTAAAAGCTTTTTGTTTTGTAAGTCTATTGTTTTGGATATCGATTAAGTAAAGAAAAATTAATTTGACTTAGTAGGTTTCAAAAGATGCACACTTTTCTCTCTTTGGATTTGCCTAAGATTTGGTATACATTGGTATACAGTGCTTACCATTATAATGTAAATTGCAAGTCTAAAATCATCAAAAACAGAGCTATATAATGTTTGGTTGAGCTGAATTGAATCCCAAATGCAACAAAATAATTTTCAAGCAAAACAAATAGGACACAAGTATCCCTTCAATGGAATTGATAGAAATGTAAAAAATCCTATTATTCAGGACATACCTTTTTTGAAATTTATGCATGATCCTGGGTGATAAATGTAGGCCCACTGTGTTTCCTGAACTGTCAATTACAGGAAGAGCTAGAGCTGAAACAAAAGAACAATTTTACTAACAAGATTGTGTTTGAAAACAATTTGAACAAAACATTGTTCAAAAGAAATGTACGCTGGTTGAATGCATGGGTTTAGTAAATACAGGATTTAGTAAATATGCTGGCTGCTTAGTCAAGTATAATATGACCTGACTTTAAGACTACAACTGATGTAAAAGCAGGACTTGGAAGACATAGCAGAGTATGGAAATCATAAAGCAAATAAAGAATAAAAAGCTAACATTTATAATTGATGTAACTGGCAGGATTTAGGCAGGCCAAATTTAGTCAATCCTTCAGTCAATCCAACATTAATAAGAGAAGGGCAATGAGGATGATAGGCAGTCTACTCAGGAACATTTATCCCAGGACTGCCCTGTAGTAAAACTTGGAAAAAACCTCTCCATTGTGTGAAATTATAACCATTCCTTGACAACTAGATTTAGTGCTGGTCAGATTGTGAAAACGTTAATGTAAGTTAGTTCCACAATGTTCTTACACTCCCCCACCATCACTTTCCACCACTACACTGCATCTTCGAGTATAGACTCCATTTTATAAGAGGCGAGGTGGAATTTCAGTGTTCACGACAGATTTCGTACCTCAAAAGACCTGGATTTTACGAAAGTTAACGTAAATAAGGTAGTAACATAAGATTTTAAAAGTCTTACATTAATATAAGGACATAACTGATAACTGATAAGACTACACACAGAAAAAAAATTACAATCATATTACAACTTTCACTTAAGGGATCAACGTCTCATCAAATTTCATATATTTAGTGAAAAATTAAAATCCTAAAACATTTCAAAAGCCAGAGACACAATTCAATACATACGAGAAGAGCCAGAGCACAATCTCGCCATCTCGCTCCATTTAGTAAGGCTCAGAACTGGAGCTTTCTGTGGGATTTAAAAAAGGCAAATAAAACATTCATTTTTTGTAATTTCTTTGCAAATGGTAAATACAATGTATATTGACCAATATTCCTCGAGTCCTCCAAACCCAGAAAAAAAATCTAATTAATTTCACCCCATCTCATTGTTTGTGAGATGTTGGCATATTGGATCCTGAACTTTGGGACGTCTGCCCAAGATAAAAGGCACTGTACCTATTGCAAGGATTATTATTATCATCGTTACCATATATATAAATTGTGTCTTGCAAAATCAAGACGGTTGACCACAAACAGTCCATATTGTACTGTTGGAGAATTGCAATGGAAAGACATTTGTCACTTTCATGAATTGACCAATAATAATAAACCTTGCATTTGATATAGCGTCTCATAACGTCTCAAAGAGCATCACAAGATATACTGTAAAGTGTAGTGACTGTATATTTTGTGGGCGAATTGTGGCGCACAGTAGTATCCGACAAACAGTCGTAAATTGAGTGCCCAAATTATTTTCTTTTCAAGATATTACCCCTGGAAAAGCAATCCGCCAATCAACTAACAAACGGGTTCCTACTTACTGCTGGGTAAACAGAGGTAAATATTCTAAACAGAGTACACCGCAGAATGCTTTGGGTACAGTTATACTCAATGCAATGTACAGGCAATTATTAAGCATATTTTATTACATTAAACCTATTTTCATACACATGATTGTAAGTTTTTAAGAGTGATTACATTTTAAGGAGCAATTTTGCCTGGACCTGTACAACATTCAATTACTGTACCTTCTCTGATTGTGTCCCGCTTGGAGAATAAATCGTATTCACTGGGATCCACGGACAAGTCTTCATTTGTACTCTCGTATCGAGCTCCACCATTTCCGGATTTAATTTCTTTGAAACTGAGGGCTCTGGGAACGAGCGAAACTTCTTTAATGGTAAATGAGAACTCTCCCTCTTCGGATCAAAACAAGCAGTTCTTTTTCTTGATAGGTGGGAAGGAGAGACTGCAGGAGACGTCACTGATACCATGGCATGTTTTCTTGATAAGTGGGAAGGAGAGACTGCAGGAGACGTCACTGATACCATGGTATGTTTTCTTGATAGGTGGGAAAGAGAGACTGCAGGAGACGTCACTGATACCATGGCATTTGTTCTTGATAGATGGGAAGTAGAGACTGCAGGAGACGTCACTGATACCATGGCATGTTTTCTTGATAAGTGGGAAGGAGAGACTGCAGGAGACGTCACTGATACCATGGCATGTTTTCTTGATAGGTGGGAAGGAGAGACTGCAGGAGACGTCACTGATACCATGGCATGTTTTCTTGATAGGTGGGAAAGAGAGACTGCAGGAGACGTCACTGATACCATGGCATTTGTTCTTGATAGATGGGAAGTAGAGACTGCAGGAGACGTCACTGATACCATGGCATGTTTTCTTGATAGGTGGGAAGGAGAGACTGCAGGAGACGTCACTGATACCATGGCATGTTTTCTTGATAGGTGGGAAGGAGAGACTGCAGGAGACGTCACTGATACCATGGCATGTTTTCTTGATAGGTGGGAAAGAGAGACTGCAGGAGACGTCACTGATACCATGGCATTTGTTCTTGATAGATGGGAAGTAGAGACTGCAGGAGACATCACTGATACCATGGCATGTTTTCTTGATAAGTGGGAAGGAGAGACTGCAGGAGACGTCACTGATACCATGGCATGTTTTCTTGATAGGTGGGAAGGAGAGACTGCAGGAGACGTCACTGATACCATGGCATTTGTTCTTGATAGATGGGAAGTAGAGACTGCAGGAGACGTCACTGATACCATGGCATGTTTTCTTGATAGGTGAGAAGGAGAGACTGCAGGAGAAGTCACCGATACTATAGAACTTTTGCTTGATAGGTGGGAAGGAGAGACTGCAGAAACCACTGATATCATAGCACTTTTTCTTGATAACACGGATGGTGAAACTGCAGAAGAGGTTATCGATATAGAACCACAAGGAACAGAATAGTCCCTCAACTTCATTACCTTGAAACTCTTCACGGAAGGTGAAAGAGAGAATGGACAATGAACCAGTTGCTGATACAGTCTTTCAAAAACATCAATTTCTTTCTTCTCAGTTTTCAACGGTCTTTGGAAAGAACAGGACACATTTGGAATGCAATTTAAAAAAGAACAAACAGAACGCCTCTGTTTCTTTATTTGGCTAGTAGAATAATTAGTCACGCTCTTTTTGTAACTTTCTACTTTCGAAGGTGAAAACTTTGCCAGAGGACTATTGTTCACTGGTGCAGAAGATTCTGCATTTAGAAGCAAGTTAACCTCAAACGTGGAGCATGGAGATTGTGCCACAGCTACATCGGACTGCGAGTTCACAGGCATGGAGCATGGGAACTCTGCCAAAGCCACATTGGACAAAGCTTTACGAGAGTTTAATCTGTACAAGTTAGGAGATGATCTCAATTTTATAAGCCGTTTATTTTTCCGCAATCTTTGTTCAGGTGGAGTATTCAATTTGTGCAGAGTTGACCCATTCGGAGAGGCTGCATTAGAAACTTCAGTTTTGCTACTATAACACCCATTTATAATTGACAATGGACTACATGAATGGTAAGAAGTCAATTGGATTGTCGGGGAGCAACCAGCTTCATTGTACAAATTTCGAAATGACAAAGATCCAATATTACTTGCTTGCAACTTTGTCCTGAAATCTCCAGTAACCCCTGCAGAAAAACGTTGTTCTAGGTTATCTTGTGGTTTGTATTTTGTCAGAGAATATACTTTTCGATCTGCAAGTTTGCTATCGGTATTTTCCTTCCATTCCAGAAGAGTCCCTTGAGTCATCCTTTTCTTCAATTGTGGAGGAACTATTTTGGTCTTCCGGTTAACTCTGTCTTGGGTGGTATTACGCCTAGATTTGCTGACATTCATCTGGAGACGTCGATAGTGCTTAACTAACCTTGTTGCAGCATGCGTCTTGTAACTTCTCTCAAGCAAGTTACTCATTGAAACTAGCATACCAGGATAGATGTCAACAAGTGTGGAATCACTTAAACTAGATGAAACATCAACATCAATGAAAGAATGATCAATGGAGGCATCAATGGATGCAGATACACCTTTGCCTGCATCAGATCTGTTTAGATCAATTCGGATTTTTGCAAATTTGAGCGAATCAAGTTCTTTGCTATCAGATACAAATGTTGTTGAATTCTCAAACAACTGGCTGGAGGAGATGGAAAGGTCTGAACTTGGATCTTCTTTGTTATTATCCTTGAATTTAGGTGAGCAGCATCCAAAGTCTCCAGAAAAGGTTTCTTGAAAATCACTGCAATCTGACAAAAAAATATATAAATATATCCCAAAACAAAACGTAATATAAACTATAGTGCATTTATTATATAAAATGGCTACAACAAAAATAAGATGCTACATAAATATAAAACTCCACTGAAAAAAGGAGGTGAAGTGCTCTGTGTATGAATAGAATATAGTTTTTAAATGGTGTATTAATCTTTAGATTCAGGAACAAAGATTTCCTTCAAAGTCTTAAAAGTTCAATTGAAACAAGTAGATTTATTTATTTTGACTACTCTCTCCCCAACTCTTGCATAAGAACATAAGAATTTGCTCGGTGAAAGAAGACCAAGGCCCATCTAGTTCGCCTTCCACCATTCTGGCAGTCTCTTGACATGTCGTGTCCCAAACTATATACTGTATCCCAAGATATTATTTTCTAGCAGAAATCTATCTAATTTGTTCTTAAAATAAACAACATTTTCTGCTTCCACTGTCTCCTGAGGGAGCCTGTTCTGTAAGTTTACTATTCGCTCATTGAAGTGTTTCCGTAGATTTGTTCTGAATTTACCCCCCTTCAATTGCATGTGTGTCCTCTGGTTCTACTGTTCAGTACAAGATAAAACAGCTCATCATGGTCTACATTATCTCTTCCCTTCAGAATCTTAAAGATTGTAATCATATTCGCCCCCCCCACCAACCTTCTCATTTCCTGTGCGAACATATCCAGTTTATCTAATCACGCCTCGTAGTCCAGTCCCTCCATCCTCTCAATCATTTTGGTTGTCCTCCTCTGTATCGTCTCAATCACTGAAATATTCTTTTTATATTGTGGCATTCCAAACGCACCAGATTTAAAAAGTGGCAAGATTACCCCACTATTTACATTGCCCTGTTAATACATCCCAGCATCTGGTTTGCCTTACTCAAATCGACTGAGCGCAGTTGCGACAGCTTCAATTTATTATCAATCAGGATCCCAGGCCCTTTTCTTTTGCTTTTTCATATTTTATTATCATTTAATTAATCATCCCTTCCTGGATTTTTGTCCCCATGTGAAGCACCTTGCATTTCTCTACGTTAAATTTCATCTGCCATCGATCTGCCCAATTCCTAAGAATGTTTAAGTCCTTATGTAACCTATTCTGTTCATCTTTGAGTCTACCACCTTCATTAGCTTTGTTTCATCTGCAAATTTAACCACTGTGCTTGTGACTCCTAGCTCCAGGTTGTTTATGAAGTTGTTAAATAAAAGAGGTCCCAAAACAGACCGCTGTGGAACTCCACTAATAAAATTCTCCCAGCCTGATGACTTTCCCTGTACCACTACAATCTGGATTCTATCGGTCAGCCAATTACGTATCCATTCTAAGATACTTCCTGATCCCCACTTCCTTTATTTTCAGTACCAGCCTTTCATGAGGAACTGTATCAAAGGCCTTACTGAAATTCACATATACAACATCTACTGCTTTACCCTTATCAAACTCCTTTGTCAGTCAAACAAACTGTACAAGTCATACAAAATACAAATTAATTAATAATCTGCACTGCGCATGCGCAATTCAATGTGCGTAAGTGCACACATGGTTGTTCAGCACTGCATCTAGTAGGTGCGCATGTGGTGACAGTTTAAAACTACGTTGCCTGTAATTCAATGCATGTTGTCCAGTCACCCCATGCACTTACCAAAAAGCATTGGAATTGCATTCTTTTGTGTATGTGTCAACGGCTCAAGACTACATTCAAACACTTTCTTATCAAAGAAAATTATTTTGTTTTTGTACTATCAAAGGATTTTAAAAAGTGATGTCGTCTATGCATACCTAGAGAAATTTGTCGCGAGTTGATATTCTTAGACTGGGGAGTAAAGATGAGCAAGGGCTTCTGACTTTCAGTCTTTGCTAGGTGTTCCACCTATAAAATATAAATTTCAGACAGAGAACCATTAACAGGAATATATTTTTAATGTTAAAAAAAATGCTCCTACACTTGGCTGTTTGTGGGACATTATAATAATAATAATCCTTGCATTTGATACAGCACTTTTCACGTCGGGAGGACGTCCCAAAGCGCTTCACAGAACACACTGTAAAGTGAATTGACTGTATATTTGTGGGCGAACGCGGCAGCCAATTGCGCACAGCAATATCCCACAAACAGTCGTAGATTGAAAATGACCAATTTATTATTGTTTTTGGTTTTGGAGGGATTATTATTAGGTGTGTGGAGTAAGGAAACTTGCCCAAGGTTTCGCTCTGCCTGGAATTGAACTCAGGTCTCTCGCTTGCAAAGCGAGTGCTCTAACCACTGAGCTACAGGACTCCACGTTGCTTGATTTAGTGTACCATATCAATATGCATTCTGTCTAATTGTAAATAATTCCTCAGAGATATGAAGGGAGATATCACTTAGGGTCCAACATACAATCTACTTATGAATTCAATGGGAAAAACAAGCAGTCACCATAATAAAAATGTTGGTGGTAGGTGGGGGAGGGTGGAGGAATTGGCAAATTGCAGCAGATAAAACGGAGCACTGGAATTGTATAATACTTTGTTTCAGTACAGATTAATAAATAATAATTCAACAGAGAGATGATTTCAATTCAACACTATTTTGCACTGTAGTTAATTCTTCAATTCCACTGAAAAACAATGGGCATCTTGAGGTCTTTTAAACTATCAATGGGAACAAAATTTCTCCCACAAAATACATTCACTACACTTTGCAGGATATCCTGTGAAGAGTTTTTAGACGTCTCAATGACATAAGTCGCCCTATCAACTGCAAGGATTATTATTATCAAAAAGACTCAGGTCAGATTTCCTACTGGTATTCTGTACATTTATAATTGCAATATTTACTTACATGAACACTCAATTACATAAGCACATCCTCCCACCCTCAAATTATTTTCGTAAAAGATCACCACAGTACTCACTGAGACTCTCTCTCCAAGATCACTAGCATATAGCAGAATATCATTGTCTATTTTGCATTTTTCTTGGAATTTAATTTCCTCCAAGGAGATATTATTCTGCTGCTAATAAATTTTAAAAATTGTTAAGAACGGTAAATTAAGTTTAGCGTTCTATAGAATTGACAGATTCCATTCAGATATTTTACTTGATCGAGAGAACATGAAATTAGCAGCTGAAATGAGTCACCATTAAGAGTAAGAGAAACCAGGATGTTAGCTCATTAAAAAAACATTTGATGCCAAAACAGAAAAAGTGGGTAAATCTCCTGTGATTTTGAATACATCTTATGTGCATCAGAAGATGGATTACTTTGCTTAGAAACACTTAAGATATGGTGGCTAATACATTTCTTCAACTATTTAGTGCTCAATATACAAAGTATTTAAACCAGTGAAACAATCTAGCAAAACTACACACCTTGGATCTTTGACGACCACACTGTTCATCCTTTAAGATGTCAACATCCAACGTCTGATCTGCTTCACCTTTAAAAAGGTAATACATTTGCTTAGTTGTAATTTTTTTAAATTAGCCACATTACAATTTACTTTTACATTTGAGTTTCACGTCACGTTGTAGCTCGGTTTAGTTGTCGCATCTTTAAAATTGGTAACATTATTAAAATAAAATCATATTGACTAACAACCAATTTTAATATTATTCTGCCCAACTACATGCATTTATATAGCACCCTTTTTTCAGTAAAATGAAGCAGAAAAATAAGAGAAATGTCACATCTCAAGTTAATCTCTATCTTACCTGATAACACACTGCATGTCAGGTCTGACTGTCTTGAGGACTCAGATTCACACACTTCAGCAAACTGGAAAAAACAAACTACAGTTGTTTCAAAGCTTTTCTCAATTTACCATCCAGTCATATACAAAAACTCAAAGATGTTTCCACATTGTTCCGCTTACAATACAGCACAAATTGGCCGATATTGGATTACCATTAAGAGGTATCCATTACTGTAGCATAAAGAGCCCACAAATCCTTATTGGTATAATTAGCATACCCACCGCAGCAAAAGGCCCAAACAAATAACTGTATGTGACAACATAGAACAAAAAAATGAGACTGGCTTATTTACAGTACACTTCTGCACTGTTATAGGGAGTCCTGTAGCTTAGTGGCTAGAGCACTCGCCTTGCAAGTGAGAAGACCTGGGTTTGATTCCCGGGAAGGGCGCAACATTGGGCAAGTTTCCTTACTCCACACGCGCCTGTTTACCTAGCAGTAAAGAGTAACCCGGTTATTAGTCGATTGGTGGATCATAATCCCATCAAAAAAAATTATAATAATAATAATTTGGTCACTCAATCCAAGAATGTTGTAAGAAGAGACAAAATAAGGACAAAATGAAAATTACAGTAAATTGAATAGTATAGTAAGTATTATCAACTTTAATGCCAATCACTTATCTTTATACCCATCACTAAACAACATAGTGTTGTGAAATATATTGTTTGTGTACCTTTTCTATAAGGCTGTTTTCAGTTGTTTTTCTCCCACGAAAGATCTCTGTAGGGCACCACGGTTTAGGACCTTGAAGTATTAAAAAAAGTTCTTGTGAACAGCACTTAACGCTATGTGAACTTTGTCACCTTGACATGCCACGAACAGTAATAGAAATATGCTAGAGACAAAAATATTTGATGGACTTGACAAGTTAGATCTCAAAGGCAGAATTTTTACAGCACACTCGCACTGGAAGCAAAAGCAGCCCCAAAAGATGATGTTGCTTGATTTCACTTATACAAATCAAATGCGAGGATTATTATTTGGTGATTTGGCCAAAACAACACACCACTCTTCCCTGCTAACTGAAAAGAAAACAACTCTTCTCGGTCAGGAGAAAACTGACGTTCATCGTCATTCTGAGAGCAGAAATCAGAATTTGGTACACAGAGGAGCTTTGCTTCATACCCCAGTGATACAAATGAGCAGCATAGCTACCCACAGTTTTTTGCTGACACTGCAGTAATAGATACCTGGTAAATGTAGATACATCCATATTTTAACAAAGATGTAACATAATGTACGGGTTTCGGCCACCAGACACACTAAACGTTGGAAAACAAGTTTCTCTACTGTCACAATACCAAAACATTTCAAAATGCTCTACCACTGGAAACGTTTTCACAATCTAACTTCAAAAAACTAATCCACAAGTCAAATCTGTGTCAGACTGTGAGTGTTGTCATATTTATCTTTTCCCTTACCTGACGGGGAATCAAAGGTCATATCTTCAAGATTAATAACCAAGTCATCTTCATTTGGTTCACTGTACTGGGAGCAAAACAAGTAAACAACTTTACTATCCAGGTCAATTAGGGTAAACAATATTTCATTTCTGTACATTTATAACAACTTTTAACAACTTCAATGTGTAAATAAATTCATCATCTTCAACGCGTAAATAGTTTTGCAGTTTTTCCCACCAAAATATGACATTTGTGAAATGCGACAATATTACACGAAACTTTTGCGGGAGGCGGAGTGGGGGGGGGGGGGGGGGGGGGAGAAAGAAAGAAGAGAAATCAAAGAAAGCGCTACACTGACTGCCCACAGAATAGTTAATCTACTTCAGAGTATATCCTTTGAAGTACTTTGAGAATCTCCATGATGTGATAAGGCGCTATATCAAATCAATAATTATTATTATGTTTGGAGGTCTTGACATGCACAAAGTGAGCTCAGTTATCAACCCACTTGGGGAATGTGCAAATTTATGATTCTTCCTTCTACAAATATTCCACAAAACATTTGCTGGGGGTGGGGGTGAAGGTAGAGAGAGAAAGAAGAACTAAAGAATGCACTACATTTTAAATAAATAGTTAATAGATAGGCTTCTTTTCCTGATTTAAAGGAACAAGGCAACACACACACAAAATACATCAAAATGTCACATGGGGACAAACGATCCGGACACAATTATGTGACGGGCCCAGATTAAATCAACTTTAGATGTAGCAATAGCATAGGCGTTCCTATTCCCCTGTGGCCCACAGACATTCCTACAGTCTGCAAGCAAGCGCATCAACACCCAGGTGCTCTCCTCCATAACTCTCCAATGCAAGTGCTGGGGTGTTGCATTATCGGAGGTGCCGCTCTTCAGGTGAGACGTCAAACCGAGGTCCCAGCTGCCTGTTCAAGTGCATGTTACAGATCCCATGGCAATATTCAAAAAGAGAAGAGAGTTTCTCCCGGTGTCCTGGCAAACAATCCAACCTCCAAATAAAAATTGGGTCACTCATTCCATGGCTGTTCGTGGGACATTGCTGTGCGCCATAGCTGCTGTGTTTTGCCCACAATTCACATCACAGTATATCCTGTGAAGCGTTTCGAGACGTAGCGACAATGCGATAAAGCGCTGTATCAAACGCAAGCATTATTATTACAATATTGTGCAGCTGCATTGGGCAAAGTCGGCTGCGCAAAAGGGCATCCAGTTAACCTGTCCTCCACCACTCCTACTTTGGGAGGTTTGTGCAGGTCTCTCATAAGGTGTGTGTGTGGTGGTGGGGGGGGGGGGGGTTTCTCCAAGGGGGCTCACTGTATAATGATTGGGAGAAACTCTGGCTTCTCATGGATCGGAGCAGCTTCCTTGGGGCCAGGGACAGAAGCCGACAGTGAGGGAGGGGGAGGCCCACTCTCGTCCCCAGATTCAACCCCACCTCGAGCGCGGGGGCAGAGCTACACGTTTTACGCAGGTCACTGCTTTACGGTATGTTCCGCGAAGCGCTTTTGAGACGTCTCGAAGATCATTATCATCATGACAATGATAATGGAGTCCTGTAGCTCAGTGGTTAGAGCACTCGCTTTGCGAGCGAGAGACCTGAGTTCAATTCCCGGCAGGTCAGGGCGAAACCTTGGGCAAGTTTCCTTACCCCACACAGAGCCTAATAATAATCCCTCCAAAACCCCCAAACAATAATAAATCGGTCATTTTCAATCCGCGACTGTTTGCGGGACGTCGCTGTGCGCCATTGGCCGCCGCGTTCGCCCACAAACATACGGTCAATTCACTTTACAGTGTGTTCTGTGAAGCGCTTTGGGACGTCCTCCCGACGTGAAAAGCGCTATATCAAATGCAAGGATTATTATTATTATTATTATTATTATTGTGATCTGCTGCTCCTCCTCCTTCCTCCTTCTCAGGGGCCGGGCCACACCTGCAGCAGGAGGCGATGGAGGAGGCCGGGCTCTCTATCTCTCTCTCTCTCTCTCTCTCACTCACTTTCCCTCCCTCCACACCCACCTTCGTAATGATCATCTCCAGGGTGCTCAGAAACCGCTGGACGTTGGTCTGAAAACTGCCCCGATGGTTACGCTCGCCCATGGCGGCCGCTTTCTCTGCCCCCGGGTTCCTTTCGCTCCACTCCCCACACTCACTCCCTCCCTCCTCACTCCCTCCCTCCCTCAGTCTCCCTTTTTCTCTCTTCTTTCTCTCTCTCTCTCTCTCTCTGCTCTCTTTTCTTTCTCTCTCTCTCTCTCTTCTTTCTCTCTCTCTTCTTTTCTCTCTCTTTCTTTTTCTCTCTCTTCTCTGCTCTCTTTGCTTTTTCTCTCTCTCTCCTCTCTCTCTCTCCTTTCTCTCTCTCTGCTCTGCTCTCTTTTCTTTTTCTCTCTCTGCTCTCTCTTCTTTTTCTCTCTCTCTTCTTCTTCTCTCTTTTTTCTTCTCTCACTCTCTCTCGCTCGCTCGCTCCAAAAAAAACGGCCGCCACGTTTTGAAATCGACAGGACGACTCTCCATTGGCCGCCAACGCCCGGCCTGTCACGTGCCTCGACTGCGTCCGATTGGTCGAAATGTGTGAAGACGTCATGCGTCCACCCGCGTCACCCGCCTCCTCCCGCCCCTCCCTCCCTCCCTCCCTCCCCACGGCGGCGGTTGTGGGCGGGGCAAATCACACGCGTGCGCGTTGGCGAACGGACGCCCCTCCCCCCCCCCCCCCCACCTCTCTCCTCCTCCTCCTCCTCCCATGAAGCTCTCAAAAGAAGTACGTCGTCAAGTTCGTGTGCACCGCAAAGGTGTCAGTGACGCCATTTCTCACACCAACAGGCGGTTGGGGTTTTTTTTTGGGTGGTGGTGGGGAGAGGGAGGGGGGGGAGGAAATAACTTATTTTATTGGGGCGCAAACCCTGGGCAAGTCCAGCCGACAACAACAACAACAACAGCAACAACACGGCGCTGAACGCTCGGGGATGGGTCGGGACCCGAGCGAAGGGGTTGTGGGGGTGTTCGGGGGTGGGGGGGTGGGGGGGGGGTGTTCGGGGGGTGGGGGGTGTTCGGGGGGTGGGGTGTTCGGGGGTGGGGGGGGTTGTTCGGGGGGGGGGGGGGGTGGGGGGGGGGGGGGGGGGGGGGGGGGGGGGGGGGGGGGGGGGTGTTCGGGGGGGGTTGTTCGGGGGGGGGGGGGGGGGGTGGGGGTGTTCGGGGGTGGGTGGGGGTTGTTCGGGGGGGGGGTGTTCGGGGTGGGGGGGTGTTCGGGGGTGTGTGGGGGGTGTTCGGGGTGTGTGGGGGTGTTCGGGGGTGGGGGGTTTCGGGGGGGTGTGGGGGGTGTTCGGGGGTGTGGGGGGTGTTCGGGGGGGTGGGGGGGGTGTTCGGGGGGTGGGGGTGTTCGGGGGGTGTCGGGGTGGGTGTTCGGGGGGTGGTGGGTGGGGGTTGTTCGGGGGGTGTGGGGGTTGTTCGGGGGGGTCGGGGTGTTCGGGGGTGGGGTGGGGTTGTTGGGGGGTCGGGTGGGGGTGGGGTGGGGTTGTTCGGGGGGGTGTTGGGGGTGTGGGGGGTGTTCGGGGGGGTGTGGGGTGTTCGGGGGGGGTGGGGGTGTTCGGGGGGGGTTGTTTCGGGGGGGTTGTGGGGGGTGTTCGGGGGGTGGGGTGGGGGTGAGGGGGGGTGGCAGGGTTGGGATGAGGAGGGCGGGGAGAGAGTGGTGGGGGGGGGGGTAGGAGGGCGGTTGAAGCCACCGTCAAAATGGGTGGGGGCGGGGGGAAGGGGGGGGGTCTCTCGGGGCGCGCCTCGAAGGAGGTGGGGGCGGGGCGGGCGGGAGACGTGGAGCAGGGCCGGAGCCCGCTGAACGGAGGGAGCGGGCAGGGGGTTGGTAGGGGCTCAGCGGGTCCGGGAGGCAGGAGGTGGGGGGGAGGGGGGGGGGCCAGGCCGTGGAGGGCCGCGAAGGTGAGGACGAGGATTTTGAATTCTGTCCGCTTGAGGGGCGGGGGAGCCAGTGGTGTGGTGTCGGGCGAGGATGGGGGTGATGGGGTTACGGTGCCTGGGGCGCGGGAGAGGGCACGAGCTGCCGGGTTCTGGACGATCGGCAGCTTGTGGAGGGAAGGGTCGGGGAGGCCGACGAGGAGGGAGTTTCGGTCGTCGAGCCTTGAAATGACGAGTGCGCGTATGAGGGTTTCGGCGGCCTGAGGTGCGAGGCGGTGGTGGAGTTGGGCGATGTGGCGTTTGGGGAAGGCAGAGCGGCTCATGGCACGGATAGCAGACTTGAGAGGTCCGTCTTTCCAACGGGAAGCCACTATATAGATACAATTTGTTGTCTGTTCAATAACAAATGGTAACAGAATCATGGCCTCTGTATCTGCCTCAACCCCACTCTTGCCTCCTTCAAGTCACCGTCTAAAGCCTTTCCTCTTCGACCGTGCCTTCAGCCACCCTCCTACCCGCCTGCCCTCCACCCCTTCTGACCCCAACTCCCAGCTCGGGCACAAAAAACCCTGAGTGGCTAGCGCCCTGGGATGTCTTTCTGACATGAAGGGCGCTATACAAGTGTAATTTGTATTGTGTTACCAACGCCCTCATCTCTGAGTCAGAAGGTTGTGGGTTCAGGACCTACGTCGGGAGTTGAACTCACATAATTCAAGATAGCGTTCTCCAACCAGTCAATCACCACTTGGTGGCATCTTGCACATGCTCAATAAAAACAAGAGGCGGGGGCAATATTTACAGCAGTTTAAACGTCAAAGTTTATATTTTTATTTCGAGATGCATCTGGCTGTGTTTTCAATTTGACTCGATAACGACACAGTTCTGTCGCTCCTCTTGTCTTTTTGAACATGCGTGAGATCGCCACCTAGCAATGATCGACTGGTTGGAAACCCCTGGTCCAAGAGGTAATGCTGAGATCCTGTCTGCCTCTTCAAGTGGACATTAAAGATCCAATGACACTACCTGTAGCTCAGTGGTTGAGCACTCGCTTTGCAAGCGAGAGACCTGAGTTCAATTCCAGGCAGGGCGAAACCTTGGGCAAGTTTCCTTACTCCACACAGAGCCTAATAATAATCCCTCCAAAACCCAAAACAATAATAAATTGGTCATTTTCAACCCATGACTGTTTGTGGGACATTGCTGTGCGCAATTGGCTGCCGCGTTCGCCCACAAATATACAGTCAATTCACTTTACAGTGTGTTCTGTGAAGCGCTTTGGGACGTCCTCCTGACGTGAAAAGCGCTATATCAAATGCAAGGATTATTATTATTATTATTATTATTACTGTATTCAAAAAGAAGGGAGGTTTTACAGTGTCCTGGCCAGGGAAAATTGGTCATTTGTTTCAGGGCTACTTGTGGGACATTGCTGCGCACAATTGGGCTGCTGTATTTTCCTAGAAATACACAGTCAATTCACATTACAAAGCACATCACTCACAAGCACTGTGAGGTGCTTTAATACGTCCTCCTGATGTGAAAGGCGCAATACCAAATGCAAGGATTATTATTTATTATATTTGTTTTAGAATCCAATGACACGTACAGATAATTAAGATGGATGGTAAACTCTCGCACTGGTACAAAATATATTTTCAGCTCAGTAATCCAATTAAATCTTTGGCTGGTTGCCCTTGTTGTACCCACTTAGTACAAAACTTAGTGCCCGAAATTCCACCTAGACTTTAACCTGCAAGATCATTTTGTTTTGACATTTAATAATAGCCAGAAATGCAGAAAATTCTTAAATTCAGTTTTAATTTGGAAGCAGTCTTTCTTCAGTTCTTAACAAAGAACTGGCTTCCAATTTAGGATGCTGAGTTATAGGTGCTACATAAATGTAAATTTGTTGCTATTGTATTCACGTCAATAAAATACTATCAAAGTATAATCTTTATGTTTGATATAACACCTTTCACATTGGGACTATGTCTCAAAATGCTTCATCATATATAATGTAAAATGTAGTGACTATAATTTGTAAGCAATTATAGTAATTCCACTGATTCGTCAATCAGAAATAATTGAGAGGTGCTTTGGATTGGATCCTCTGCCTCTATAATTCAGGTGGAGGTTAAAGATCCCGTGGTCTCTAATTCAACTATTAGAGATTTTTCCTTGATAATATTTGTCTCTCATCACAACTCACCAAAAATATGAAGGAGCTTTTTTCAAATGCAGGTAATATATTATTTTAGGTGAGATCTAATCAGCACTGAACTGTGTTCTGCCCTTTTTAATTCCTTTCTGTATAACTTTTCAAAACAAATACATTTTCCTGAACATTATGTATTTCTTCTTTTACATTTGTCAGAGATTTATTAAAAAACCTTCCTTGATAGCAACATTTAATGCAGCATATTTACAAAAGAAAACATGATTTATCAAGCAAAAGTAAATGCCAACAATATCACGGTGGGATTTCTTTAACATGTGAAATGATTGTTCTTGTCAATTGTATTAAGGACTAGAACCTAGTTATTCATTGAATTTCTCTGTCCTCATATTGCATTCACACATTATGAACATTCACCGGTCATCATATACCTGATGCATTCAATCCCATTTGTTAAAGCTATGCTACACACTCAATTCAGCTGTTTTGTTTCAGTCATATTTTACAGCTTTCATTTACATTTATAAATCGGTTTACAGAAAGCCTGAGAGTGTTCCAAAACTTGAAATATAACAATTCCTAAACAATAACCACGAGACATTCAAACTCTATATACTGCCAGATGTTCAATAAAACTGAATTTGGGTTTTGAAAAGTCAAGCTAAGTTCAGAGATGCCAATGTTAGATCAAATACTGAAGATAAAGAGAATCAAAACAAGTGTCAATGTGGAGAAACATAATAAACGGTTGATAAGTGAAAATCATTGTTTGAGAGATTATTAAAGATGTAATATTATTTTGGATTTAGGTTAATAACAAATACTTGAATTTATATTGTGTCCTTCACGCAGGGTAGAGTCCCAGATTGCTTACAACAATTTAGTCCTTTAGTCATGGATCTGATTTAACAATATGATCATTGTAACAAACAAATTTATCTGCTGTACAAAAGCAGTTTTGAGACAATTTATCAGATTTTCTCTGTCGCTTTTCATTTGTTATCATCAAATATTAATTAACAGTTTTTCAGTCATGGCTTTAGTCATCGTGTTGTTAACCTGTGATAATCTTTACTGCAACTTAAAATGATCATCTTGTAGAGTAATGATAGACAAAAATGTAGATTTCCATTAATTGCAGAAGTACAAGTGAAACAGATGATGTCCAATGTTCCTTAAATAACTCTGCTAGATAATTGTATCAGTGTTTCATCTAGAGCTATACTAAACTGTGGCGATTGATTCCTACAAATTTCAAATTGAAGACATTTGTTTATGAGATGAACGTTCAGTTTCCACCTCAAACATTTGCATAGGAAAGCAGTGAAGATCGCTGCTGTGTTGAAAAAACATACCAGCAGATCCCCTGAAAATCATCAGCAAACCTGAGTCTGTCCAACAATGACAGTCACCACTGGAATCAGAAGCTATAATTTCTCTATATTCACATCTCAAAAAAATACTAGATGAGGCAATATTTAGCTCAATACTCATTACACACTGTGCCTTCGCCCTCTCTCAATGACTTTTAAAACATTGGTGAGGTCCAGGCTTTTAGTGATCATATCCATGAGTTCCTCATCATTTTCGACTCCGTTCATAAATTCTTCCAGAGTTAGTTCACCTGTTTGGAAACATAATAAGTAGAAAGTTGCATCAACGTGCGCAATTTGGCTGCTGCATTTCACCCAGAAAATATACAGTCAATTCACTTCACAATATATCTGTGAAGCGCTATGAGACATCAATGATTTGATAAGGCGCTATATCAAATGCAAGGATTATTGTTATTATTGTCAGAATTGGAAATTGGTGAAGCAAACTATATTTGAACCATTAGCGTGCATGGAACTGGAAAGCAAAAGTACTTGAAGTATTAGATGGGTAAAGATGAACATTTTGGGGTAAAACTTCTGTTGAGTATTACCCGTAACACCAATTATAATGGGAAATCCTATTTGTGCATTAACTCTCAACTGAATTGTTACCTATTTGTACCCTGGAATCCCCTGATTGTGAATCCTGAGAGAAGCAAAATATATGTAGAGAAGTGAAAAATGTGATGTTTCATAATAATTTTTGATAGTTATCAAGCACATTACCAGATCAGTTTTGAAACAATGCATTTTTGTTTCAATACATTACAATTTACAGTAAATCCTGTGATGTGGTTTGAGATGTCTCGTGCTACGTCAAATGCAAGGATTTCTCTTATTGGTAGAAGATCTTACCGTCTCCATTTATATCTATTCTTCTGAACAGCATTTCGGTGAAATCTTCTGGACTAATATCATAGTTGGCCCTATTGATGGCACGTACAGCCTGAAATTAAAAAGGTTTGTGTCATTTTCCTCAGAGCTATTGTATCATTTTCTATAGGATAAACACCCACAACAGATGGCACTGGGGCAGTCATTTGGGAGAGTACAATTTTCATATCAAAACAAGAAATGTAAAAAAACAAAACTATCTGTCACACTTCACATGTTGATATTGTTCATTTTACTCGTCCCAGAAGTACAGATTAGTGGATGAATCTAATGTCAACATTAATATGCAAGTAACATTGTGTCCATTTAGTTGCCCGTAGCATTACACATGCTGTGTCACCCTTTTCCATTCATGACAGGCCTGCTGCAGGGTTGCTTTCATTAGGACTGAAAACTGAACCAAGTATTCAACACTTGCATTAAGTGGACCGGCAAAGATGTCCGTGCGTGTGTGTGAATGTTCATCAGGAAGGTACTTGCGTTGGTCCGAATCCTGAATCTTAGTGGTTAGAGCACTCGCCTCGCAAGCAAGAGGACCTGGGTTCGATTCTCAGGCAGCGCAAAATGTTGGGCAAGTTTCCTTACTCCACACGCATCTATTTACCTAGCAGTAAGTAGGAACCCGGTTGTTAGTTGATTGGTGGATCGCTTGTCTGGGGTAATAATCCCCAAATAATAATTAAATAAATAATGATAATTTGGTCACTTAATCCATGACTGCTTGTGGGACACTGCTGTGTGCAAATGCCTGTCGCAATTTGTCCACAAAACACAGTCAATTCACTTTACAGTATATTCAGTGAAGCGTTTTGAGACGTCTCTAGGACGTGATAAGGCAGTATATCAAATGCACGGAATATTATTATTATTATAGAGGGAGTGAGTGGGTGTCCTGGATTGGTTTACTCTTGTGATGATGGGCAATTCAGTACTTATTATGAAATTAAGTAAAATCAAGCTTTTTGTATTATTTGGTTTTACATAGAATTACATAGTATATATAGCACAGAAACAGGCCATTCGGCCCAACTGATCTATGCCATCTTTTATGCTCCACATGAGCCTCCTCCTGCCCTTCCTCAACTAAGCCTATCAGAATAACCTATTCCTTTCTCCTTCATGTACTTATCGAGCTTCCCCTTAAATGTATCTTATGCTATTCGCCTCAACAACTTCTTGTGGTAGCAAGTTCCACAGTCCCACCACTCTCTGGGTAAAGAGGTTTCTTCTGACTTCCCTATTTGATTTATTGGTGACTGTCTTATATTTATGGCCCCTGGTTTGGTCTCCCCAGAAGTGGAAACATCTCTGTGTCTACCCTATCAAAACCTTTCATAATTTTAAAGACCTCTATTAGGTCACCCCTCACCCTTCTCTTTTCAAGAGAAAAGAGTCCAAGCATATTCAGCCTTTCTTGATAGGTATAACCTTGCAGTTTCGGTATCATCCTTGTAAATCTCCTTTGCACCTTCTCCAGTGCCTTTATATCCTTTCTATAATACGGGGACCAGAACTGTACATAGTACTCCCAAGTGTAGTCTAACCAAGGTTCAATATAAGTTTAGCATAACTTGCCTGCTTTTCATTTCTATCCCTCCAGAATGAGCCACAACGCTTAGTTTTCCTTTTTTTTAAAATGGCCTTATTATCCCACATCGCTACTTTTAGATATGCCATTTATAATACAGCCTATTACATTTATCTGTAACAGTTTCAATTTCAGGGCTTCACATTTATTTTTACTGAGGTCTATTCTGTTGCGGGTCATTACAGACCACTTTCACCCAAATGTGCAATTTCAAACATAGGTACACTTATAGTTAGATTTACTTAATTCATTCAGATTGATTCTTGATTTTGGAAATTTCAATCTATTAATACTCATCCAACTATGGGCAAATTAATTCATCTTTATTCACTATCTACCAGGATCTAGCTAACACAAATGTCTCAGGTGTCCCAAACTGCTTTATATATAGAACAGTTTTATTACTTCACAATAGGAGGCAAGCAAGATTGTAACAAGCATAGAATAATTAAGTTTCTGGAATTCACTGAATATAAATATTACTCAATACTAAAGATTCAAGCAACAAACCTTCACCTTAATTATGCTCAACAGCTCCTCTTTGTCAATCCGGCCATTCCCATCAGCATCATACAGTTTAAAATACCATTTCAGCTTCTGATCAAGCTTTCCTCGGAGAACCAGGCTTATTGCAGCAACGTATTCCAAAAAGTCGATAAATCCATCCTAGGGAAAGATAAGAGATAAGAATTGTAAATCAGGATGAATCATGCGAAAACCGTCTGCCAGCCAATTTCAGTTGATAGCACTCTAATTTCTGAGTCAGAACATTGCAGGTTCATGCCCCCCGTGAAGACTTTGAACTCATATAGTCTGGTCTAACACTCCAGTGTGGCACTGGGGGAGTGCTGCATTGTTAGAGGTGGAGGTGTCAGATGTGACGTTAAACTGGGGTCCTGTCTGCTCAGTTGGACAATATATATCCCATGGCACCACTTGAAAAGAATAGTCCAGGCCAATAATCTCTCAAATAAAATTAGTCGTTCACTTCATGTCTGTTTGTGGGACATTGCTGTGTGCAAACTTTGCTGCATCTTTGCCCACAAAATACACTATACAAATGCAATTTTGTATTGTATTGTATATTCCTTGTTTTGTATAATCATGTGAAGCACTTGGAGACGTTTTTATCATGTGATAAGATGCATTATCAAATGCAAGAATCATAATTATTTTTGTGGCCAATCAATACAACTATTATTTTAATGTGCTGAACTAAGGGCATGAGTGGAAAACAATTTCAGAGTAACTACCAGATTCAAATTGACTTTTTTCATCATTTCCCTAACCCAGGTTCTCTCGCTTGCAAGTGCAAGAATACAATACATCTAACGCAACACGGTGACCACTGAGCTGTTACTGGTAAAAGGAAAGAAATATAAAATTTGAGTAGCACAAAAGCAGAGCAAGTTATGACCCTGAAGTTGATTGTAATAATAATAATCCTAGCATTTGAAACAGTGCATTATCATGCCGTTGAGATGTCTCAAAGCCCTTCACAGAATATACTGTAAAGTGAATTAACTGTATATTTTGTGGGTGAAACGCGGGAACCAATTGGGCACAGCAGTGTCCCACAAACAGTCGTGGATTGAGTGAACACATTTTTTTATTGAACCAGTTCAGTGCCAAGAAGCACTCACAAGCTTCTGTCTACCTGCCAGACAGCATCACCCATTAGAGCATGGCTTGCAAAGTTACTGGTTGCCGATTGCGAGGGGTTCCTCCCCACCCCTCCCCTCCCCCCAGCTTCTTAGCTCCTCCAAATCCCATTATTGAGCCAGTTTGGCTGCTTAATGGTGTCTTGGAGAATTGCAGGCTTCTGTTGCTCCCGTAATAGATCACTGAGCCCTCCAAAAATAGCTCACGTGTCTCCAGTTATGTCATCACGTACAATGAAAATAAGGTGATATCACATATTAAAGCTTAGTTTATCCCTGTCACTGCCAAATATAATGTCTATCCCTCTAAATCCCCTGCTGAATCAGCTTATTCTGTACATTTATGACTCTAAAGGCTATTTTATGCAGGTACTGCCTGGGAGCCTGACCTGGAAGGGAACAAAAACAACAACAGCTTGCATTTATATTGTGCCCCTCACACAGGGTAGCGTCCCAGAACGTGTGTGAGGGTTGGAAAAAGATGATGGAGGACTTGGCAGAGAGGAGGGGGAAGGAGGGGGATACAGGAGGAGAGGAGATGAGGAAATGGTCTAAGATGGCCTTGTCTGTGATGGACAGATCAGAGATGTCAAGACCGTGAGTGATACCGAGGTCGGTGGGGGTGGCCACGGTTGTGGGTCGGGGAGTTTATGTGGAGGGTGAGGTTTAGTGTGGAGAGGAGGGCATTGAAGTCAGAGGAGATGGCGCAAGGGGAGTTTAGGTGGAGGTTGAAATCACCCATTAGAATCAGGTGTTCAGTGCAGAGGCAGAGGGATGAAGGAACCAGGCGATAAATAAGGAGGATTTTGAAAGAGAGGGAGGGATGGTACAGGATTAAATGTTCAAGAGGTGAAGGAGCTGGAGGAATTGGGGGATAGAGCGAGGGACATTTGGGAACTAAGGAAGTGGAGAAGGTGGCTGAAAATATGAAGAGGTAGGTTTTATGATGTGTTTTGAAGGCGGAGAGGGAGGAGACAAGGGAGAGTGTCTCCGGACTTCAGAATAGCTGGTTTCAATCACAGATGGTAAGGTGGAGAAGTCAGGGGCAAGAAGCAGAGGAAGTGGACAGGGCTGTAGGGTCATAGGAGGTCACAGTAGATAGGAGGGGTCATGGGAGATAGGACGAGAATTTGAACTGCTGGGTGATGTGGAGCCCGTGGAGCCAAGCGAGGATGGGGATAATGGGTTCAAGGAGTCTTGTTGGGTACTATAACCTGTTACAAGCTAAAATACGAAGGAAATAGAAGCATGTTACATAGAGTTGCATGGAATGATACAGCAAGGAAACAGGCCATTCGGTCAACTATTCTGTGCCAGCGTTTCTACTCCACTCCTATTGCCATGCACTATGCACCTCTACATTTGCACTGGAAAAATTAGTTGAACAAAGATCATTTTCAAGTGCAGTACTACAATTTAGCCAACAGTACTGGACTCTCCCCAGATCCTCTCCACCCTCCTCTATAAACTGTTTTCAGTGGTTATGAACCACTTGGGGTAAGACTAAGCGAAAAATCAGATACTAACATTTAATTTTGGATCAAGTTGTTGAACATTTTAAGAGCTTTGGATTTTTCCTAGGGTAAGGGGTAACCTAGAATTAACATTTAAAAGGCATGTCTCAAATACACTCTCCTTGTGTGTTCTATTCTATTTGGTATACAAAAATAATCATAATTTGGGCACTCAATCCATGACTGTTTGTGGGACACTGCTGTGCGCAATTGGTTGCCGCGTTTCACCCCCAAATATACAGTCAATTCACTTCACAGTTTATTCTATGAAGCGGTTTGAGACATCTCGAAGACATGATAAGGCGCTATATCAAATGCAATACAAAATTACATTTGTATAGCGCCTTTCACGTCAGCAGGATGTTCCAAGTTGCTGGACAGTCAGGGATTTGGACCCGAGCTAGGGTCAGGATTGGGGAGGATGGAGGGCAGAGCGGGTAGGAGGGTTTATTAATGCAAGGATTATTATGATATATTATTATATTATTATTCAGGAGGCTCTCACCTTGTTCATGTCGAAAGTGATGAACAATTGATTGACATAACTGGTCGCTTCTTCGTTCATTCCCTGGAGACCTAGAATTGCCTTGAATTCATGTAAACACAGCTGTCCACTTGGGCACTCCTTCATGAATTTGTTGTACCAGTAGTGAATTTCAGTCGTATTCAGATCATCGGCAGAACAGGATCCACTGGCACCCATCACTTCGCAGATCAACAAGCCATATCCTAAGTAACTGCAAAGTTAATGTTTTTGCTCCTATTAAGAGCTGCAAACGCACTCTGCCTCTACCAAGGATCTACACAAACCTTCTGTAAGAAATTACCAAGAGGAGCAGCAATCAATTCAGGGATCAGTATAAAGCAGAAACCAATTACGATAGCTAATTATAATCTTCAATGCTTTAAGCGTGAACTAAAGTGACCTTTAAATGATCTTTTACATAATGTCTCTCAAGTATTTCCAGTTACATGGTAATGCCTTATGCTAGAGCTGGCATTCTCAATGTGATTTGGAAGTTATGTTCAGAAAATGAAATGTATTTTGTAAGGAAATCATTTCATTTCTTTGCCGTCGCTATTTTCAGCCAGCACATTTCTGGGTTTTTGTGTTCCTGCTTAAGAACATCCAAAATACACACATTTCTGTTTCTCATTTTAGGTTTTCAATTGAATTTGTTCTGATTCTAAATTTTGGGAAAAGTAAAGTTAGAATTTTTTTTAATGTTACATTTTCACTTATTCTCAAATACTTTTCATCATGCTTTGAATAAAGAATTCTTTCTCTAGGTCAAATGCATCTTTGTAGCTTCTTAAACAATTCTACGCTGATGTTTCTCTTTCTTACAATATTTCATGTAATGTAATGAAATATTCACCCATAAAACAGTCATTGCACGTTACAGTACATCTTGTGAAACGCTCAACATCCTTCAGGCATGAAAGGTGCTATATAAGGATTATTATTATTGTAGTATTCTGACTAATCTAAAGAAAACCATTTATTTTAGTTAAATAGTACAGTTTTACTTGCAGGCATGTTTTCTTGTGTTATTGTTTTAATCATGTGCAGTGATTTTAAAAAAGTAAATTTATAATGTAAGAATTACAACAAAAAATCCTTAAGCAAAAAATCCTTTAGTCAGAAAAATTCCTGTTTAATATTTGAATTGACTCTTCTGAACAGCTGGTGGCTTAAGAGGACACTTACGGGGTGTGGAGTCCTGTAGCTCAGTGGTTAGAGCACTCGCTTTGCAAGCGAGAGACCTGGGTTCGATTCCTGGCAGGGTGAAACCTTGGGCAAGTTTCCTAACTCCATACGCCTGATAATAATCCCTCAAAAAAAAAAAAAATTGGTCATTTCAATCCACAACTGTTTGTGGGACACTGCTGTGCACAATTGACTGCCGCGTTTTGCACACAAATATACAGTCAATTCACTTTACAGTCTATTCTGTGAAACGCTTAGAAGACGTGAAAAGCGCTATATCAAATGCACTATTATTATTATTATTATTTTCTTCAATGTCTTGTTCATGAGTGGAGGTGTAATGTTTCTGCAAAAATGTAACAGCATCCTGTGTGTGAGGTCTAGACAGATATGCATTTCATCCTTTTATGATTTGGCTGGAATGGAAGATAGGTTAAGACGCTGTCGAAGGTGCGTGAGAAAAAATATGCCTACATCCAGTCCTTAATTGGATATATTGTATACAGAAAGTGTTTTTCATGTTGCCAACAAATTCCCATTTGGCAGAGGTGAAAGATTCACAACTTAATCCTAAATGGCATTTGTTTCTTCGCTGTGGGTTCTCACTTCTTGGAACTTAAGACTGTCCACCTTCACTTCTTAACAATACCATAAAACTTCACTTTTATCGCATCATTCTGAGCTGTGTTTGAATCTGGGTTTCAGAAGTCAATGGACATTGATCCACTGAGCGACCAGTATCCTGAACAAAAGGCAAAATACTGCAGATGCTGGAAATCTGAAATAAAAACAGAAGTCACTGGGAACACTCAGCAGGTCAGGCAGCATCTATGGAGAGGAAAGTGAGTTAACGTTTTAGGTCGATGACCTTTTGTCAGTCTCCTAAACAACTTAGCAATGCATTCTTATTTTGGCAAATCCTGCCAAAAACAGACTGCTGTTTAGTAGCAAGACTACTTCCACTAGGTCTGGCCTCCTCCTTGTCCCCCCGAGTCCTCCGTTCCACCCTCGGCGGTCGTGCCTTCAGCCACTATGCCCCGAGGCTCTGGAACTCCGTTGTTCACTCCCTTCGTCTTGCCCCCTCTCTTCCTATTTTCAGGTCTCTGCTGAAGACCTTTCTTTTTGACCGCACCTTTGGTCAACTTCTTACCCCTCTCCCTGGCTCGGCCCCGGGATCTGTTACTGTGAAGCACTCTGAGATGCCGTCCGGCGAGGAGGGCACTCTATAAATCCAAGTTGTTGTTGTTGTTGTTGTTGTTATACTTAGCTTTGGGTCTAAATTGAACAACAACTGCCAGACTTCAAGTGATGTGTTACCCACAGGCTGAGAGAATGTGTTACCCACAGGTCGTGATCATTGTGTCTTTCCCCATACACATGTAGAAATGTCTAGAAAGATAATCCCTTATACTTGACAATAATCACTGTAAAGATTTTGACATAATAAGGTACTGCAAAAATGCAACTTCTCTTGCTTAACATATTTTAATTCTTACCTTAATTGACTATGACGATGGAATGCAGACATCTTTTCTGATCCTATATATTCCTGCTGGCATGAGACATACATACCTTTGATGTCAAATGTTTCAGACATTTAAATGTTTTGAAATATTCTGTCTTCTTCAAACATATTCATTCATTGTGCCCTCATTCAGCACATTTCCTAAATTACAAGCCATATTTTGAGGATGTTCTTTGAGACTGGGGCAGGGAGGGAAATACTGGCTTTTCTTCAGTGATTAAGAAAGATTGCCCTTGTTTGCTCCATTCTATAACCGAGAGCTAAGTTAATCCTAGTGAGTGCTACTGTGAGGTTAAGATATTCACCGGGTACAATTAACTCCATTCTCTGGACAACCTATGTGAAGCAGGCTGACAAGAACATGAACTTGTCAAAAGTGGAAAATCTATTCAGTATTCATATAAAACACCAAGCTTCTGTTTGTTATTGTATCGGTAGAAAATTAGTTGATATGGATTAAAAACATCATTTAGCTCAATACATGAAAATGATGCTGCTCACTCAAAACGATCCTCTGGACGTCTAAATACAGTTAACAGCACTTGTACTGAATACAATTAAGTACTTCTAAATTCAATTATCATCATTCTTCAGTTGTTGGTCACTGCATGGTAACAAAGACAAATAAAGATGAGGGTAACAGGGCTTTGTGAACTTCACCTATGGAGCGTAAGAAAGGATTTGCCTGCAGCTTTCCAACCAAGATGAAATCCTCCATCACCCCCCTCCCACCGCCATCACAGTGAATTATTAGAGGCTTTTCCAAAGGATTTAAAACTAATCTGTCAAAGCTTGAACAAATTTATCTCTAATCCTTAATAGTTTCTATGAAAAGATCAGATTAGTCTAATCTCAGCATCTGATTTCCTTGAGCGAAAGCATTGAATAGATAGTCAGGACATTTTGGGATAGTTCCTTTTGATGGTTGACAGCAAAGTGGCTTGATTTTAGTTCACCTCATCAATTAATCATTAAATATTTCCACTGGCATCTTTAAAATATATTTTTTTATATAAATATTAAAAAAATTAAAAAATGCAGGTTCATTTTGGTAAATGCGGAATCAGTTTGTCAAGAAATCCTTAATTTGGGTAAGGATTACAGTTGGATCAGAATATCTTATAAACTCAAAATGTAACAATACTAGCCAATTTATAAATCTTTGCCTCAGTCTATTTATAACATGATAATCCATCTGAATCGAAGGTGACAGAAAACACTTGAAAACCTCATTTTTTTATACAAAGACAATTAGATTTCAAAAATGTGTCATCTCTAGGCAGAATCAAGCAATTAATCTCCCACAGCATATTTACTGTGCTGATTTAAAAGGGTTAATACCTACATTTAGGAACTTACTATTTTCACACTTTAAGCAGTTACCCGCAGGAACACGGCAGGGAATATAGGATAAAATCCTTATGGGTTCCAGTCCAAAATGAAACTGAAATTAATCTCAACAACTACCAGACCTCCTTTTCCAAATGAACTATAATATAGCAATCCATACACCTACCATATGTGCAACATGAAAGTCACACAATGAGTGAATGGTGAAATGTAGCAGAAAATGAGTCCAACTGCAAATGGTGGTCAGACCTATGGTCACCTCCTCCTTTTCCCCATCCCGTAACTTGGCGTCCGACCTTGTCTTTGTGAAGTGCTTTAAGACGTTTTTCCTATGTGAAGGGGCTATATAAATGCGAGTTGGTAATCTCTTTAAACACCTCTCTTTTTGCAACCTAGCAATCATTTAATGAAATGAACATTCAACAGTTATGAAAACTTGACAAATTTTACAGTGAACATTGGAATATAAAGAGGTGTTGCTCCAGTAATATAGAGTGCTGGGCAGTGCTAATTTGGAATATTGCATTCAATTTTGGGCATCCAATCTTACACTGAGTGATATTCTTAGTATAAGCAAAAAAACTATTTTTGGACTACTAAGATTGACCTTTTTTTTAAAAACCAAAGAATTCTTTATTATGTTCATTCCCTCCACCAACATGACAAAGCAAAGACAACCAATAAACAAAACTTATATAACTTCGGTCGTTGCAGATGTCTACACACATCTATTGGTAGAAATTCCACCTGGGGCTAGATTTACTCAATTAACATAGCATTACAGAGTGTCAAGAATGAATCAAATTTGTAATTTGATTCATCAAATTGTCCAGCGCCTTGGGAAATCCTAATGTGAAAGGCGCTATACAAATGTAATTTGTTGTTGTAGTTTAATACAGGCTTTAATTTTGAAGCCATTTTTTTGGAGGATAACAGAAAACAGGCTTCAAAGTTAAACAAATTCAATTATTTGCAAAATACTGGACTCTGAAATTCTATGTTAAGGAGTAAATTTAGACCCAGATGGAATTTCTCCCCACCAGATGTTACAGCACAATTAGTTTAGTCAAAACAGAAATTTGCAAGTCATATCATTATTCAAAAACTAAAACCAAAAAGTTATTTACCTGCAATTACTATGCTTGAAATCTGTAATCATCAATATTGGCAGGTTCTGGACATCACATAACCGTGACATTAGAAACATGTTCGATTAATATTAAAATGGTCTTGGTTATTTGAATACGTATAGCTTTAAAACAAAATTCTAACAATCATTCAGCAAGATTCATAAGAGGACTAATTGTTCAATGCTGAAAGAATGCATTGTGACATTGTGATTTTCACAATCACATTCACCCACGTTTGGAAATGTCATCAATCAAGCAAAATATTTTGCACCCATTGGCGTACTTTGATGTGTACCAGAGGTTAATGTTCAGACTTGCAAACAACCAATAAATGTCATAAAATAAAAATTAACAGAAGCATTCCATTGTTTTTGATGAAACCCTCTCATTTGTTTGTGTACCAAAAAACAAACCATTAAAAAAGGCATGTTATCGATGCAAAGATTAAAGCTTAGTCTGTGTTAAATTAGGCTTTTACTTCTACTTTTAGAGTTTTGACCTGGTGAATATAAGTACTCTGAGACGCTTGCTATCCAGCTTGAAGGGTGTTATATGAATGCAAGTTGCTGTTTATTTGAAGACACATCCTCAATGCAATTTGCTGCTAATCCCTCGAAGCTTTCATCCTCAAATTTGCAATGGGTGCCGGTATTAAGAGTAATCATCTGATGAAAAAAGAAATGGAGAAGATTACAGAGCTGCACAAAGAAGGAAGTAAACTTTAAAGGTCAAATATCTTGGGCCACTCTTGAGCACCTCTTGCTGGCTCCAGAGAGCACCACTTGGAAAAGATCACACCACGTCTATGGTAAAGGGGAAAATGAGATCAAATGAAAAATAAGCCTCCCAAAGAAAAAGCTGCTTACAGTTTGTACCACTGGGAGCTAAATAACCACCACATAACATATTTTGGATGGTATTTGGTATATCAAATCTAAATCATACTTGCACTTGATTTAGTGTCTAACAACAAGATTCCATTTGTATAGCACCTTTCATGTCGAGGGGACAGCATTTCAAATCATTGAAATGTCTCAAAGCACTTCACAGGATTTTACCGTAAACTGTAATGACTGTCCATTTGTAGGTACATACGGCAGCCAATTTGCGCACAGCAACGTCCTACAAACATCCATGAAAGTGAGTGACCAATTTAATTTGAGGGATTATAATTTGGTCAAGACTGTTTGTGGGACACTGCAATTGGCTGCATGTTTCACCCACAAAATATATAATCAATTCACTTTTCTGTGTATTCTGTGAAGTGCTTTGAGACATCTCCAAGATGTGATAAGGCACTATATCAAATGCAAGGATTATTATTATTATTGGCCAGCACATCAGGAGAACAGTCCCATGGGATCTTTAACCTCCACCTGAACAGGCAAATAATAATAATAATAATAATCCTTGCATTTGATATAGCGCTTTTCACGTCGGGAGGATGTTCTAAAGCGCTTCACAGAACACACTGTAAAGTGAATTGACTGCATGTTTGTGGGCGAACGCGGCAGCCAATTGCGCATAGCAATGTCCCACAAACAGTCGTAGATTGAAAATGACCAATTTATTATTGTTTTGTTTTGGAGGGATTATTATTAGGTGTGTGGAGTAAGGAAACTTGCCCAAGGTTTCGCCCTCTGCCTGGAATTGAACTCAGGTCTCTCGCTTGCAAAGCGAGTGCTCTTACCACTGAGCTACAGGACTCCACTCAGGAGGACCTCAGTTTAATGTTTTATCAAAAGGACTGCACCTCTGACAATGCAATGTCCTCCAGCAATGCATTGGAGTGTCAGCCTGGACTCCAAGTTGAAAGTTTTGATGTGGGACTTGAATCCATGACCTTCTAATGCAGAACCAAGAGTGCTGCTAGCTGAGCTAGGCTGACACCAGGCTAAAGCATGTTTATTGGTTAGTGGAAAGATTTACTTGTGGCTCCTGATTTGCATTTGACAGTAAATGGAAGCTTTTTTCATTTAGTTGCCTTGGTTTGAATAGAATTAACATAGTTCTCTTGCTGGAGTTTGCGACTGTACAACATTCTGATCAAAACCAACCCTGATTGTTTTATCTAATGCTGCACTTCACCTTTAAAGATAGGGTTAGTATAAGAATATTTGCTCAACTGGCTTCATATCTGCATTCAGCCTGAATGAATGAATCTCAATGAATCTTAAGAAAGCTCCAAATCTCGCTGCAGGAAATGCTGCATTCTAATTTTCCACATATTAAAAATTAAATGTTCTTCTGTATGCCGTATTGGGATTCATGGCTTTCAAATTCTTTATTATATTCATTTACGCTAGAACTAAATGGTCAATTATATTTGGGGAAAAACTAGATTTGAAACTCCTTTTGAGTTCCTCTCCCTCCCTCCCTCCCTCCCTTATCTCCTTCAAGGTCCACCTAAAGACCTACTTCAATCATCTTTCGTCTCTCCCCCTTCAGCTACCATCCCAAGCTTGGGTGTCAAGCTAGGATTGTTTCAAACCGCTTCATGGGACCTTGGGAGGGGGAGGGCTATATTTGATGCAAGAACATTTGAGCAGGTTTTTCAAAATATAATTATTGTTTCAATTTAGAAAAAAACTTTAAAAACAGTCAACAAAGGGTACACCACGAATTTACATACTGACTGAATCTTGTTCAATATCTCTGGAGTGAATTTTTGATAAAATTCCAGTTTTTCTCTTGTTTGTTTCAGCTTCAACTCAGAATACTGCACTTTCCGTTCCATGTCTTGGGCTCTGGCAGTCAAACTTTCGAATGAATACTTGAATCGATCTCTTAGGCTTTTTTCGTAATGGAGAAAGTAGTAATGCTACAGAGAAAGAGGTAAACATGCGATGAATGGGGGAGAAGTGTGTAAATTTGAAAATCGATGGATCTGATAATGGCTTATGCTATCACAAATGTACAGTATTAAATGATACAGTTTGCTGCAACGCAGAGCAGCATTGCCAACAAACACCTGATAAAAGCATTGCCATTTCACATACTGATTAAAAAATACCTTTTGACATGTGTTAGAAGGTGTTAAGAGGATGCACATATGTGATGTGTTAGGAGGTGTTAAGGGGAGGCAGGAAGCATACCATGGAAATATTGACAAGCTCATCTGCTGTCATACAATTCAGAGTCTCCTTTGATATAATGTAGTTCGTAGGTACAAAATGACTCAAGACACTCCTTTGAAAACATAAAAAAAACATTTTGTTAGTTCATCATTCTACTTTTTTTATGAAATGTATTGTTATTTATACAAAACAATTTTATGCAGTTTAATGTTTTTCAAAGAAATGATTGACTTTGCAATGTTTAGTTTTATGAACACCATCAGGTCTCCTAACATGTTGTTTGACAAAACATTTATATCAGGGGATGTAAACTATGATATTAATGTGCCTACATTTGTGAAAAATACCAATAATCTGATGTCAGGCTTGGTCAGTTGGTAGCACTCGCCTCTGAGCCATAAGATTGTGAGTTCAAGCCCCATGTCGCGACTTGGAACCAATATGGTCTAAGATGATACTCCCAATTCAGTCTTGGGTGTACTGCATTATTGGAGGTGCCTTTCTTAGGATGAGACGTTAAATCAAGTCTGTCCATTTGCCTGTATGTTTAGATTTTAAAGACTCCATTGCACTAATTGAAAAGAGAAGGGAGTTTCTACCAATGTCCTGACCAACAATCTCCCAGATAAAATCAGTCATTCAATCTCCCAAATAAAATCAGTGGGAAGTTGCTCTACACTAATCAGCTACAAAATACAGTTTCCAGTGAATCTTGTGAAGCTCTTTGAGATGACCTCCTGGCTGTGATAACGTGCTATATCAAATACAAGGATTATTATTAATAATAATTCTTGCATTAATAATAACAATTACAGTGTATTCTATAATACAAAAATATATATAGAAACATGATCAGTAGATTAGAAAGCAAGAGATGGAATACAGTACAGAACACAGATCACTGGAAAGGAGGCAGTAGAAGTTTGAAGTAAAATAAAAAACGTTACTTTTAATGCAGTGATTACAAAATCAAAATATCTCAAAGCATTTCACAGGTAATTAATATTCAGTATAAAACAATTTACATTCATGTAGCACCCTTCACGTGAGGGAGACGTCCCAAACACATTCACAGTACTGGATGGGCACCTGAACTGAGCATGGGAACTGAGGAGGGTGGGGGTTGAATTGGGTGGGGAGGGGAAAGATTGCTGAAAGCACAGTCAAAGTGGTAAGACATGTCTTGAAACAGTACCTTGTTGTAAAGTGTAATGACTTTAGAGAAGGAGCAAACACACACACATACCCTAAGCATGAAGCCATTCCCTTCACGGTGTCATTACTGGTAGCAGGAGTTGTAAATTCCACACGTTCTATGTTGCTGTCAGCTGCAGAGAGTGAACTAACAGCAATGTCGTTCTCAAACCTAAGCAACAAATCAGCAGATTCAGGCCAGCAAAGGAAAACCGTATCAAAATGGCAATACATCTCTATTTACTGCACACCAGTATACTGCCTTAAATGTTACGGCATGAAAACAACTAACATACAAGGCTTAAAAGCTTCCTGCTGCTTATCCAGTTGGGATCATCCTACCCTATGGGATAATAACTTGCAGGATTATTTGTATCCAAATGGGAAGAATCTTATCCCACCCCCATTGATATGTCATTAAAGTCCCATATATGAGCCAAACAAGCTGGTCAATCATCTACTATATTGTAGATTTCCCTGGCACAGGTATCAAATAGTCCATTATAGTTGACTCAGCTCCATTCTCTCTTTGATGGGTATATTATCATGGAGCTAGTGAGATCCCGTTTACCTCCCCTCCTCCCTGAAAAGAATACTATCAGTTGGCCATCAGATATAAGGCAAGGCAGGTTTGAGATCTCACTAGATCTGAAACATTAAGCGCCACAAGAGCATAAACAGTGGAATGCCCATGTTTAATTTCTTTTCCATTCAATTCTGTATGAGTATAAAAACACATCCATTGACTCACATGTAGCTACCAAGGGAAATGGTTACATCATTTTTCACTTCCCAATGGAAACAGGACTGATTTGTGGACCCAGCAGGAGTTTCGTTCTCCATTGGCTCTTTCTTTACTAGAACTTGAAAGGTCCTGCAGTCACCTGTAAATTAAGACATGGGTAGTGATGCATCAAAATGGCAGGAGTTACTGGAAACAAATTACAACTACCAGTACTGGAAACAAATTACACAGTGTTCCCTATAAACAAAGTAAGAACACAACAAACAGAGTGTTTTCCAAAGTTGTAACACAAATAAATGACACAGAGAATAACACACAAAAAACACAGCATTCCCAAGAAACAAAGCAATAGCACAAAAATAGCATGATATTCCCAATAAACAAAACCAGACCATTGCCAATTTCCAATCTTGCATGACTAACATTAATCAACCTCCTATACTTGGATCCCAGCTGTCTGGAGATTGTTTCCCACACAGGGTAATGCTTCTGCATGATATGACGATCTTTAATGTTTTTTTTTAAAATAATGAACCAACACTATTAGTATTAAAAGTTAAACAGCATTTGAGCATTGATTTGGCGAAGCTTTGGGCATGTGGAGTATCATTCCAATCATTAAATCAGTGGTATTTCTGATCAGGTACGCATCACTGATGATACATGCACTGGTATTCGTCAATGCAAAAGTGAGGACTACATAGAAATTAGAGCATCAAAACAGGTCATTTGACCCAATTAGTTTATATCGGTATTTACACTCCACAGGAGCCTCCATTCTTCCCAACCTCCCTTCCACATACCCTCTATTTCCTTCTCCCTCAATAAATTGAAATAAAACCTTTTGAAACCCACTCAAATTACCTCTAAATTTTAACTTAGAACCATAGAAAATTATAGCACAGAAGGCAGCATTCAGCCCATCGTGTTCACATTGGATCTTTTAAGAGCAATCCTTTCAGTCCCATTTACCTACCCTTTGCCCATTCTTCTATAGTTGAGTGTTTTTTTTCAGATATTTATCTAGTTCCCTTCTGAAAGCTAACGTTGCCTCTGCCTCAACCACCACTCCCAGCAGAACATTCCATATCCTATCTACTCTATGTGAGATCTAGGTGAGAACATCAACTGAGAGTGATTTACACAAGGGCAAGAGGGATATTCAGCAGCAGATGCAAAATTTAAAACCTAGCATAGAATGATACTTAATGGTACTCTTTAAAGATAGCATCAGGACTGTCAAATGCCTTGGACTGTCAAACGGGACATCCACCTGACATGATATCCCTGGTTCAATCGAAAGATTTGTTTTTGATGCTATAATGATCTATGTAATTCTATACAATTTAAGGAAAGCAATTCCAATGTAGCTTTGACATCTTGAAAATGTGAGAGCGAAGAAGAATAAGGAACCTTTCGAGAGTTGGTCATATTCATTTCCAAACTGAATGAAGAATTCACTTCCACTTGTTCCATTAAACAATTATGTGAAAGAAATGTAAACAAATTGTTTTCTTACTGTTTGATGTGAGATCCTCATTGCAAAAGTTAATCAGATCCTGCAAATAAAGAATAAATTAAAAAAATTAAATCCACTCTGTAGTGTTAAAAAAACAGCATTTAACACAGTGCCACCAGTTTGGAATGTACCAAGTTTTATACTCAACTTTTGAAAAGTAAAATAAATCCATTATTTAAAACAAAAACATGTTATTACTTACTTCACTTCCTTGATCCGTTGGGTCGTTCTCTATTTCTGCCTGTGGGATTTCGACTTTCAACGTTTGTGCGTCAACTTCTTCCTTAAAAGAGCCCTGAAGAGTTTGTGATTGGTTCTTTCTCAACTGGGGAACCTTGAAGGACCCAGACGATAGGAGAACACCTTCTGCATGAATGTAAGGCTTGTGCCTTTTGTAAGTCCGGTGATAGCAAGCTGGTAGTTGCCGTTTCCTCACACATGAGGAAGATGAAGAGAATGAGCTGGTTCCAGATGCAGAATTGTCCTATATGCATATCATGAAGAATTATGTTTTTTTCTATCACTGTGGTTAATTTATACCAGTTTTCAAAGCAATATTTTATGAAATAACATTGGGTGAAAAAAAATACTTTGCTTCTGTAAAATGTAATGACTGTATTTTATAAGTGACCAGCGACGGCCAAGTTTGTACCCAGTAATGCCCCATAAGCTGCCATGAAGTGAATGACTACTTGAATCATGAGTATTGCTGGTCAGGAGTAACTCCATTCTCTTCTCAAATAGTGCCATGGAATCCTTAACATCTACCTGACAAGATAGACTGAACTTTGGTTTCACATCTCACTTGAAGGATGATAATACAGAGCTCTCCCAGAACAGCATTTGGAGAGTCAGCTTTGAACATGAGCTCAAAGTCCTGAGATGGGGTATGAATCTACAGCCTTCTGACACAGAGGCAAGTGCACTACCAACTGAGCCAAGCTGCCCCACTACACAATATTATAATAATCCTTGCATTTGATGTGGTGCCTCAATATACTATAAAGTGAATTGATTTTATATTTTCTGAGCGAAATGCGGCAGCCAAAAAAATAAACTTTATAGAGGTTTAATAACTTTAAACAAAGACAATTATAGGCAACAACCACTCGTATTTTGAGGTAAAAAAAAGATTTTGTTTCAAAATAGAATGATTTTGTTTCAAAATTGAATGGTTTTGTTTCAAAAAATCACTATCCTCGCTTCCTACCTACCTGCGTATTTCCTACCTGGACTCATTCGGATGGTAGGAATAATTTTCCAAAGGTTGGTGAATGTACTGTTATCGTCAGGCAAGAATATAATTCGTCACCTTATTCAATATAAGTCGGAATAATGCTCGAAAATACATATTTATTGTGAAAAATATCAAGAATTTTTTTTTACAACTATTGACTGTACACACAATCATCTGTGGGAATTTCTGAAAAGCCTTCTGAGAAAATAAATAAGTCAGTATTGAATTGCAAAGACAATTGTTAGAATTATGGATTCGAGACAATGACTTAGAATTACTTGCCTTAGAAATAGCCTTGCTATTTACATCACATGCTGGTTTATTTGCCAATGGTTTGATTGGAAAAGATTTCTGTCAAAGGAACAGATTTTGTTTTAAAACATCTTGGATGCTCTGAAATGCTACATGAATACAGCAGTCATTCAATGCCCTTACTTTTATTATTTATAAGGAACTGGAATGTTTCACTGCACTTTAATTGCCTGAGAAATCGGAGCAGAATGTTGTTCTATCGGTCGGATGCTTCCAAATGGTGCTGAGATCTTGATGGAACAGAGTCCAGCTCACCACTCATCCACCAGCATTCACCCTGTGACTATTCTAATCCTCTAAATGTGGGCTGATGTCAAACATACTGTACATCTCACTGTACATACAGTTGTACTATTCAGGTCTCACATTGCTCCCAGTGTAGTTTATTTGTTTAAAAAAATAATCCTCACATTTGGTATCACGTCAGAAGGACGTCTCAAATTGCTTCACAGGTATTACTGTGAAATGGAGTGACTGTGTATTTTGTGGGCAAACACAGTATCACAGCTGCGCACAGAAATGTCCCATCAACAGCCATGCAGCGAGTGATCAATTTTATTTAGGGGACTGTTGGCCAGGACACGGGGAGAAACTCCTTTCTCTTTTCGAATAGTGCTAAGGAATCTTTAATGTCCACCTGACAGGACCTCGATCTAACAACTTAACAAAGCTTTATGAAAAGTGTAAGTATTTGACCCTTAAAACAAAATGAAACTGAAGTAGTCAACAGTGCAAGGGATCCATGGATAAATATAATCCCTTCTCACTCCAAACAGGTCCTCAAATCATGGAACATTAAGATGGAAATACTTGCCTGTAACTGTAAGGCGTTGACTTTTTCTTGCTGCCGCTGGATTGATTTTTCCAATAATTCCTGCTTTTCATATGATAATCCCGATTCTTTTACCAGAGATCCCAATGGAATGTGTGGTAGCTGCTCTGGCGCATGGCATCTGAGACAAATCACCGAAGCACTCACTGTTAAAGCGTACATTTGACGTAGCAAGTGTAGCGTAAATGCGCAAGAAGGGAGACTTTGTTTTGTTTTTTTATTAACCTCTGCACTTTTGTTTTATTTTGTCAGCCAGTTGTCAGTCATACACGGAAAGCCTTCACCATGCAGAAGAGAATCCAAACCAAGCTGAGATTTCCATGCATCCCACTTACACATAAAAATTCCAGAGATAAATAGTTGGAATGAAATGCGCACTCTCTCCCTGGAGGGATGCATCCTGCTTACCTAATTCTGGAAAGTATTAGGCGCAGGCTGGCAAGAGCCAAGGCTTGGGGACCCCAGAATGTGTGTTGGGAGTACTGCTGGAGTCTAACCAGCTAAAACCGAATAGCTTGCCATTGATATCGCCGCCTGGCAAGCTTTCCCGCTGCTTGTCCAGTTAGGACCATCCTACCCGTTAGGGTTTTGGCTTGCAGGGTTAGTTTGACCGGCACCTCTATCAGTTCAAAGTGCCACTTAGTTCCTGAAAGTGCAGGGAGGTGATCTGCTTCCAGGTTGATCAATGCCATTGTGCCTCTCGACCGAGATATACAGGAAACTAACCTGAACAGGGTCCGACCCAGCCAACAATTTCCTTATAAAGTTATTTCCACTTCCCACAAAAAAACAATATTCAATTCCGGTGAATTGTTCCTCGACAATCTCACTGGCCGGGTGGGCTTCAGGGCACACATTTAAACATTAACACTATTAACCACGCAATAAGCAGAACCATTTCATTATTGGCAGTATAATAGCTAGGTAGCAAAATTGTCATAAGCATCACACCCAAGAAGGAATGCACAAAATGGCTCCTTCACATGCGTAAATCACCCCTGATTTACCTATTCTGTTCCGCTTGTGGGCTCAAATAACAGACCCAAATGTCGGGCAATTCTGTGTCGTCCATTTCTATATTGGATGGCAGGGTTCTCCACTTCAGGCACAAGTCTGGCAAAATTTAAACACAGTATTTATTGCTGTGAAATACAGGCTGATGGTGTGATACAAGTAATGTGAGTATTTTCTCTCCTCATCCCTCCTCTACCGATCACGGCAACTCATATGCTTTGATATGACTGCACAGCCCCGAAGTTCCACCACTAGTAGATTTTGCCTGAAAAGTTAAGATGGGGGGTAGAATTGTGAAACTTTTTTTTAAATTCAATCTTGATTTGGAAGCCAATTCCTTTTCGAAAGCTTCTAAATTAAGAGTTGGCGGTATGTTGGGCCAGTGACATGCCAACGCCTCACTCGAGCAACTATTTGACATATGATCCCTGGACAGTCATGATAAGAATTTTTTTATGCAGCCAGTTTTAGCAACTTTGACAATTCTTACAGTCACTGCATTTCGTGACCTGAGGAATTTCTCACCTTGGGTGCTAATGAACTAGAATATTTGTCTGTGAAGGCCATCACAGTCAACCTTTTGTCCTTACTCCACATCCCCATATACAACATCACCTAACAAATCAATGGTACTTGCCACACTGCAACGTGACATGAACCTCCGCAGCACGTCTTCTCTTATACTGAAGTCCATCCGATGGTGACAAGTCCCAGTTGGCTGACAGGTATCCAAATTCATTCCAGAATTTCACAATCCCCATTTGGACTGGATGCAGGTGAACAAGATCATAGTTATTCCATCCTGAAATAAACTTTTGGTTTTGATTCCACAGTATTCCCCTTTTATTTTTTTGATTGTTTGTGGGACAATGTTGGCCACAAATTGGCAACCCCTTTTTGCTGCAAAATACAGTCACGACGCTTTACCTGTGAATCAGTTCCCCCCTCACCCTTCTCAAATCCTTAACCACAGCTCTCCAGTGTCATGTTTAATGCACTTTTAATAATAATCTAGCAGTCGATCGTCAGTTTACAGTAAATCCTGAGTAATGCTTTGAGATGTCCTCCCAACGTGAAGGGTGTTATATCAAATGTAAGGGTTACTATTATTATTATTATTTAATTAAGAATAATCTTACCAATGCCAAGATCTTTCCAGTACTGGAGTAGGAACTTATCCATTACTTTAAGCAAGTTGTTGTATTCCTTGGCATTTGCAAAGTCCTGTTTGTTATGAGTGGGTTCCATCATTCCATATGGCACATCTACAGTACCCACAACGCCACGACAGGATCTAAGAGAAACGAAAGCAGAACGAATGATGCCCAAAATCTCTTTTATTTTTGTACAAAGTCATCGGGTTCGGTGTGTTGAGAACTGGAATTTCATTTTTATTTTACACACTGTAATGTACAGAATGAAGATGATATTAAAGAAAACCTCACCATTCAAATGCTAAACAAGTCAACTCTGAACTCTGCAGATGATCTCCTTTACTCCCTACAAATGCACTTCATTGTGTAAAGTATCACTCCATTCTCTATTGAGTGAAATCTAAGGTAACTGTCAATTTACTGCTCTTAAATCGTTGACTACCGACGCTAAAATATAAATAATCACCTTTCTTCCCTATTAATACATATAACAAACACAAGCATGCCATTTGCTGGAGTATAATGTTGTGGAATTATAAAACACTGTAGTGTAACAATATTTTACAGTCTCTCTCTTATTGGCACAATCTGAAACACACACAGAATATCAAACTGGCACTCACTGGGTCAAGCGGTTCACAAAGGCTCCTCCAGTCCTCTCATACATTTTGATCAGGCGGTTACTGTTGTAAACGAACATCCCATCCATGTTTCTCTTTTGGATGTTTACTCCAAAAATAAAGCACAGCTTATGTGGCACTTTCAGGACTCTACAATAATAATAATAATAATAATACTTGCATTTGACGTAGCACCTTATCATGTCATTGAGGCATCTCAAAGCGCTTCACAGAATATACTGCTAAGTAGATTGACTGTATATTTTGTGGGAGAAACGCCCACAAAAAATACAGTCAGAAATGAGAAGAGATGTTTACGTCTATTCTGTGCATTCCTGTTTAATATGTAATTCCTCTGTTTAGGAAACAAGTTGCAAATATTCTACTTTAAAACAAAATATTTCTCATCCAATTCATGCATTTCAGTCATCGTTCCTCTCCCCACCCTTTTTGTTCCCTACGTGAACAAACATACAAACAATTACTCGACCAAATATTTAAACTTGGTGAGAAATACAGTATCGAATTGAAGTAACACTGTATCACCCATTTGTTGCCACTAGAGGGGGAGGCACTCCATAAAGGCAAGTTCTTATCACAAGATCACACAAGATTGTTCTGGATGAAGAAGTCCATCTGATCTCATCCCTAACAGAACACCCAACCAACCACCCTACCAAATTGCCATCACAGCATCAAGCTGCTTTTTAAATAAATCCTGGTGGCCTCTACCACCGTTTCTAGTAACCTATTCCAATCGTTGATTACCCTTCGAGTAAAGAAGACAGATACTTTCTGGTATCTGTCCTGAAGTTGTTCTTTACAACTCTAAACCTATGTTCTCTTGTTCCATTGTCTTGTTGCATCCTGAAGCATTGATAACTAGGAGTGCGAATGAATGTACCGCTATAACCACTTTTTTTATGCTACCACTTATTTTCTACACATATAAAAAAAAACCTCATGAAAAATCTCATAGGGAGTGCAATAAAGGGGTGTTATAGTCTATACTGCATGAAACTATTACCATTATTAGGAGGAAATCTAGCACGGTGTGGTTGCTCACTCAACCCACCTTGTGATAGTCTGCACACTGCAATCTTAATGCAAATTAATGACAGAGAAACTACAGTCAAGTGGGTTGTCTTCAGCCTCAAGATTTCCTCATCGTATTACCTTTTCTTTTCATCATGCAATTTCTTCCTTTGGTCTGCGACCCGCTGAGAAGCTGCTAACTTAGAGAGAGCGAGTTTGATTCGGCTCTGGTAAAGGAAAGCTTTGGAATTAGTTGCTTCTGAGGAAAATAATGTTGTGCTGCTCTTATGCCAGTCTACAGGAGTGTACGTTGCTCGTCTGAAGATTTCACAAAAAAAATTCACAATAATCTTTTTGTTTTGCAAGTCATCCATCTTATGAAATCTCCCTTCGTAAATTTCTTTTTTGTAAGTGAAGAAACCCTGTATGCCAATGACTCAGCTCTGTAACCGCCTGCTTATTGAAGGCCATGATAACAAGATTCATTTGAAGTTGTTCCCATTTTTTCTTTAAAGTTTGGGTAATTTATTATTTCCAATATCATTTCCATCAGCCAGAAAATAAATACATAAAATAAATAATAATAATCCGTGCATTTGGTATAGCCCGTTATCACACTGTTGGACTGTTTAAAAGTGCTTCACATAATTTATTGTCAAATACTGTATAGTCACAATGTATTTTTGTAAGTGACCGCAGCAGCCAATTTACACACAGCAATGCCCCACAAACAGCCATTAAGTGAATGACTTAAGAAGGATTGTTGGTTAAGGCAAGGGGAAAAACTCCCCTCTCTTTTTGAGTAATGCTCTGGGAGTTTTAACGTCCACCTTAACACACAGATCGAGCCTTGGTTTACGTCTCGTCATCTCCCCAGTGCCAGTTGGGCTCAAAGTCCTGATTTTGAGAGGGGGTAAAGGCTTGAACCCACAACCTGTTGACTCAAAGGCAAAGGTGTGGTTTAAGATAAAGTAAATATTGGTTAAAATGTGCTTATTTTACACATCTCTCTTATTGCTGGAAAATACCTAACTTACCTTTGCTTCCAAGCTGTCGTCTCCCATTTGTTCCAACTCTCTCACCTGGATTTTGGCCTCCTGCATTTTTTCCTCTGCTGCAAGCATCAATTTAAACAGTTCAAGATGCCACTACAATGTTTCAGCAATTCATTCCTACTCAAATTATATGTCGCAAAAGAAGAGCATTTTAAACGTGGAAAAACAATGCAGTTTTTAGACTAGCAGCAAAAAATTGGATTTTCGTACTTTCCTACATATTTTACATTGTGCTAATGCTGCCCAAATGCATATATATAGCACCAACAACCGGACAAGAATACTACCTCAATTATGAAGGGAGTCTTAAGATGCAGTAATGGAAGATCTAGTTAAAAGAACAATGCTTCCCTCTGATTTTTTGGTCTACATGTTATGTCACCGGTGGTATGCAATCATTTTCATTTTAACATAAGAAAATCCACCTTTAGCTTTTTGGTTCAACATTTTAATTGCAACGACTGTACATTACATTTTAAGCAAGAAGCAAAAGAAGCAGAACAAAAAGTAAAACAGAAAAGACGTGATCTTTTCATCAGTAGATTAATCATCTGAGTTTTGTTGTTACAAGAATTGTTCCAAGAATGACCAAATACCCCTATGATTCTCTAGTCTGTGCTAAGTTTATCTCATCTGATCTCATGAAGTGTATCAACAATCCTTGGCTGTGGTTATGCTAAGGGGCTTCGTGAGAAATGTGACCATGATTTCTGCTCATATAACTGCTTAGTGACCTTTGCTGGAAAATATTGATATTGATATTCAGTGAATTTAACCTTGATTACTGCTCATGTCAACTGTTTAGTGACCTCTACTGGAAATTACAGACATCAGTATTCAGTGAAGCCCGTATTAATCTTAGGTGTAAGAGCTCCCCATTGCCTGCTGACACTCCCTTGGGACATTAATTCCACTTGGGTTTAGATTCACTCTATGTTTGTAGCGCTTCAGAAACAGAGGGATTAGGGGATATGGGGATAGGGCAGGTAATTAGAGTTAGGTCTGAAGATCAGCCATGATCTTATCAAATGGAGGGGCAGGCTCGAGGGGCCGAATGGCCTACTCCTGCTTCTAATTCTTATAGTCTTATGTCCAGAACTTGGCAAATCTTTGAATTTGTCTAAACTCCGAAGCCAGTTTTCTGTGGTTCTTAAAAGAAACAAACCGATACCTGAAACCCTTATTAAGATTATGGATGAGACCGCCTCCATAAAGTTATTAGGCATGACTCAACTTTCCTGGAATCTGTGTTGAAACCTTTCAGGTATCAGTTTCAATCTGTTCATTGAGGACCATCATTGACTTCTGAACTACTCCCAAAGCACAAGTTAAATATTAACCTCATACCTATTTTAGTAGCTTGTTCCGACTCCTTTACCTCTCTCTCCACACGTACTTTGAACTGTTTGGATGTATAAATGTACTTCCTATGAACGGACAAACACACATCTAATTGAATATCACATCAAGGTTGGCAAAGTAGTGGAAATTCTTTATTTATGAGGCCTTTACAATTTAGAAAAATACTATATTTTTTCTGACAACAAACGTATCTTTCGCTATTGATGTCAAGCCAGTTTCTTTCCTTTGAGTGCAGATATCCTGAAATCTACAAGTTGTTTACTTCCTCAAGTCCTTAACAATAATGTATGAACCAGCCATGCATACGCTTTATTCTCATCTGAAGAGTCAGCACCAGATCTAAAATGAAAGCGACCTGAAATGTGTTTGTTTTGGTCGGCCGGGCATTATGCTTCAGAGTATCCGAACCAAAGTACCCGGAGTTCCAAATTTCCCTTTCCCATGGAAATTACTCTTTGTCTGGAATACAGTTGAACACACAGTCTCTTCCCGGAGGGACACACTCTAATTCCACAAATCCCAGGAAGTATGAAACACAGGTGGGCAAGACATGATAAAGTGACCTGATAAAGTAACCGCTGCCAAATCCATACACGTGGGGAAAAGATAGGATAATGAGAATAAATGAATGGCACTCTCAGAGAGCCAGCACCGACCGGGACGATGGGCCGAATGGCACTTCGGTGCTATAGATATCAATAGTTTTATGCAACCCAGAAAGCAAAAGTGATCATTATCCAGGAAATTTGAATATCAATCAAATAATAATAATCCTTGCATCTGATATAGTGCTTTTCACGTCTTCTCGACGTCTCAAAGCGCTTCACAGAATATGGTGTAAAGCGAATTGACTGTATATTTTTGGGCGAAACGTGGCAGCCAACTGCGCACAGCAGTGTCGCACAAACAGTCGTGGACTGAAAATGACCAATTTATTATTGTTTTTGTTTTTGGAGGGATTATTATTAGGGGTGTGGAGTAAGAAAACTTGCCCAAGGTTTCGCCCTGCCTGGAATTGAACCCAGATGTCTCGCTTGTAAGGCGAGTGCTCTAACCACTGAACTACAGGACTCCAAAACATTTCCTGAAAGTTTAATAAGTAAATTTTACAGGCCTCTTTTCTGAAAAATATGACTTAAACTGTACGAAAGGTCTTAGAACTGACAGTAAAATTGCACAAGTGAATAACTTTCATACCTGGGTCTATATAAGCTAAGGAAGAGCTGTTTTGTTTGAACCTTCCGTCCCTGGATAAGAATTCTCATGCGAGGAACAATGTACAATATAGCAGTGTAGGCTCTAAAGGAATAGCGCTCTGGTTGCCTGAAATACAACAACAACAACAACAACAAGATTGCATTTATAGAGCGCCTTTCACGTCGGGAGGACGTCCCAAGGCGCTGAAATAATAATAATAATAAACTTATATCTATATAGTGCATTTCACATTGAGAGAACGTGCCAATGGGCTGCTTTTTCAGTAATAATTTCAATAATACTCATCATTGCATTGAGAGAGAGCTTCATTGCATTGTCAAAATTTCTCAAAACCCTTCACAGGATGTACTGTAAAAGTAACAGGAAAATAACTGTACGAACTGTACATGGGGACATTCTCCCAAAATGAAAGGAGCTTATACAAATGTAATTTTGTATTGCAGTAGTTTCTGTTCCACAATTCTATAAGATCATGGCTGATCTGTACCTCAAGTCCAATTAACCTCCCTTGACCCCGTATCCCTTAATATTCTGACCTGACAAATATCTATCCAGTCTTGAATATACGTCACTACAATTAACAATAAATAGTGTGAAGCACATTTTGAGATGTTTCAAAGGTTAAAGAAGCTCAAATGGAAGGATGATTATATTATTTATCTACTGTATACAGTTAAATCAGTGTAGTAAAATGGCAGCAACACTTTAAAGAAAAAGACAAGTAAAATAGTACCTTGTAAAGATCAAGAAAAATAATAACTGATGATCAGAGTCTCTAAGTTATTTCAGGTATAATTAAATCTTCAATGATCAATTTAGATTTTTGATTTTATAACTTACAATCCTCTCATCCTCATGCCTGTCAGTAATATATCGGAATGGTCGGTATCAACATCAAGTTCTGGCTCCCCATCATCGTTCAGCTTTAAGTTGTAGATAACAATCAAAGTGCCTGTTTGGAAAAAAATGGGTAGAAATTCCACCTGGGTCTATATTTATTCTATGCTCTTTGCACTTCAGACTGTACAGAATTAGGCAAGTTCTTAAATGCAGTCATCTTTGAAGATAGGTTTTCTCTAAGTGCTTTTAAGACCTACAAAAAAGCACCTTCAAAGTTGCAATACAATACAATTTACACGTCAGGAGGGTGCCTCAAAGCTCTTGATAATGCTGGATGAGCACCTGAGCTGGGGGTAGGAGCTGAGGGGGGATAAGGAGTGCAAAGATATTAAGACTGAATTCAACAACTTGCATGAACATAAGTGCCCTTCATGCAAGATAGCATCTCAGAGCATTTAAACGCTGAGTCAGGGAAAAAAGAGTAAGTTCTTCAAGTGCGATCCGAAGATATGCAGACATGTACAAAGAAGAGGGATTGAGGCAGAGTTTTCCAGAGTTCAGAGCAATAGAACAATTACGTGGTGCTTAATTTTAATTTAGCGCCTTGGGACATCCTCCCGACGTGAAAGATGCTATACAAATGTCTTTTGTTAATGTTGGTTGTTGTTGTTGTTAAAACACTCTTACCGCTTGTTCCTGTAATTTTATCAAACTGGTGCATCACATCAAATTCAGTTTTAAATGGAGAATATTTATAGATGATCGCAGTTTCTAAGGAAAATTTTCCCAGGTCAGTTGTTGAAGGTTCCTTAGTAATGACATGCCAGGACGGTAGAGGAACTATCACCTGAATAAAAGCATAAGCCACCATCAAGGACCTTATCCCAAAGCACTTCCACATTGTAACATGTAACAGCCAGTGCATTACTTTATGCCCTAAAACGATGATCATTTAAAATCACAAAAGTACTAATCCTTGTATTTGGTACAGCGCCTTTCATGTAGGAGGATGTCTCAAAGTGCTTCAACGGACATACAGTAAAATGTGTTTTTGTAGGCAAACACGGCAGCCACGCTGTGCACTGTTCACAGCACAGCAAGGTCCCACAAAAGGGACCCATGCTGAGTTCGCTGGTCTCAGCTAGGGCTGCGTGGGGAGGTTAAATCTGCCTTCTCTTCTCAGGGTCAGGGAGAGGAATACCAGTCCAGGTTCCTGATCCACATACCTCTTCAGCATCCTTTACTAGTCAAGCTCATGTGACGAGAGTGTCAGGCTTGGAGCTGGCATCTGGCATCCTCTACAGTCAAGCGATATAATGTGTAATTACTGTGGAACACCATGAGACATTCTAGAAATTATATCAAATGCAAGGAGTGCTTGGAAGCCCAAGGTGTACAATGTCCACTTCTCCCTGCTGCAAGAGCAATCAGGGTGACAGGACAGTACTGACGGGGAGGGGAGAGGAATCAAACTGAGAACAAATAAATAGATAAAATTCCCCATCACAAACCTTATCAACACCTTCTTTTTCGCAAAATGTTCGAGATATTAGGATGCAGCTCATTGTGTTGCCTTTTTTAGTAAACAGGATGAAATCATTGCCGATCCTCATGGAGCCACTGCAAGAGAGAAAACATGTTTACAAAGGAGCGACAAAGAGCTTCAAAAGCAAACTATTCTCTGAACACAAAGACAACGCAACCGAGAAAGCAGTCTGGCTTGCTCTCCCTTCCTGGTAACCTTTATCAGTTGTTACTCACCCTTTGGGTAAGATATACTGTTATCTGTCCTGAAATTTCCCTTTCTAACTCTAAACTGTCCTCTTGTCTCAGTGTATCCAAAACATTGATATTGTTCTGGGTTTACTTTTTCAGATGTCAGCTCACTTGATAGCACTCTTACATCTGGGTCAGAAGCCCTGCTTCAAGGAGAAAACTGCCTACAAAATACACAGTCCCTACAGTTTATAGTATATCCTCTGACCCAGTTTGAGATGTCCTTTGGAAGTGAAAGGCGCTGGGTCAAATGAAAGCATAATTTTTAAAAATTAAAATTGAGGAGAAGGTTTAGCCTTGCCCTTGAGAAAAAGTTGACCCTTGTTATATTTATTTGACTCTAAAATGTACTAATCTCAGAATACTGAGTTATTTTGAGACAGATTATATCTCTGAAACTCACGATTTCAATCCATTTCCATATTGTCCAATGAGTGGAGAATCTGCAGCTCTTTTAGTCGATTTCCCAAAATGAATGACCTCACCTGCTTCATCTGTTAAAAGCAGAATATAAAATTGTTTTCAATAATTTAATAAATATCTAAAAGAGAAAGCTACAGGGATATGGGTAAAGGAAAACAGGACTGACAGGTTTGCTGTTAAAAGACGTAATGGGCCGAATGATCTTCCGTGCTGTAAATTTCTATGGTGTGTAATTTCTATGGTAACCTATTTCACAGGGTTTAGTGCAATATGACTAGCTGCAGTACTTTTGATCCCAGTCCAAAATGTTGCTGTCAGTCTGGCTCAGTTGGTAAACTATCCTCCGAGTGGGAAGGTTTTGAGCTCAAGACCCACATTGGGATTTTGGACTGATAGTGTTGGCTGAAAGAGCAATGCAGCAGGGCAGCGCTGCATTGTCAGAGGTGATGTACTTCAGATGAGATGTCCGCTGCTTAGGTGGACGTTAAAGATCTCATGGCCCTATTCAAAAAGAGAAGGAAGTTTCTCCTGGTGTCCTAGCCAATGACCCCCCCCCCAGATAAAACTTCATGGCTGTTTGCAGGACACTACTGAATGCAAACTAATTGCTGTGTTCGCCTACAAATGCACATTAAATATACTTTATCATAAAATTTTGAGACATTTTGACATGATAAGGCATTATATCGAATGGAAAGATTATTATTGTTATTATTTTATCAACTGTACAGCAGTAACCTAGTAATACTCTCAAATGACTTGCACGTCCCTTCTACTTCTAATAATCAAACAGTATCTATTGCTTTCTGGTTCTGAAAGAGATTTGTAACTAGTTAGTTACAGCCCTGAGAAACACAAATTGAAAAATTATTTCATTAAGGTATGTGATTGCTTACAAATGTTAATGTGAAGTAACCATTCCGAACGCACTTACCAGGATCCATGCCAATGCCATTGTCCAGAAAACACAGCATAAATCCCCCTCTGAATTCATCATTGATCTCTGAAACAAATTATCAAATGTAGTAATAGAGCCATCACTCTTACTCAATACATTTTGTTTTTCACATTTCATTCTGTTAAATGAATACAATGCTCAACAGTAGTGAATCAAAGCAAGTCTACCACAACACTGCTGAGAAATTCTAAAACTCGCAGTCCCACTTCCCTGTCTGCCATGAAATATCCAGGATAGTCAGTTTACGTTCTGTTCACAGACTACTTGATATATCATACATATCCAAAATAAAATTGATTTTAATACCACTTTTACACTGTATTATATATGCTTTCCCTTAAAATCGCAAAGGTCAATTGGATTTGCAAATGGCAATTTAAGGATACTAAAAAGTCTTTACTTAATTAACAGGTTGTTAAAGGGAACAGGAAGACTGTCTGAGGCCAGGACATTAGGCTCATTCAAAAAACAGCTACTGCTTCGAGGGGAAGAATATGGGGTGGGTGCTCTGGAAGGATGAAATCGAAAGGGCCGAAGGGACTTACTCAACGAACTAATCTTCTGATCTTGTGAACATAAAATAACTACTACAATGCAGTTACCTACAGTGCCTGGCTGACATCCTTAATCTCCTCTCATGTTCAAAAGAAGTACAACTCACCAGTATAAATGTCCAAGAGGGTTGCTTTGGCGTCTCTGCAAAAATACCCGAAAATATTTCAAATCAGTTTTCCAATTTTCTTTACCCAACCTAAACATAAATCCCACTGCAGATCATTTTCAAACTTAAAATATTATTGCCATAAAGCGAATTGAATGTGTGGAATAAGAAAAGGCCATTCTACCCATCTTCAAGCCACTAGCTATGTACAATACAATACAAAATTACATTTGTATAAGCTCTTTTCACATCGGGAGAAAGTCCCAATGTACAGTTCGTATAGAAAAAAAAGGCTTCAGAATTTAAGTATTTTCCACAATTCTGTGTGATCTTCAATAATTGATTATAAAAAATATTAATTATTAATAATACTTTGGTCACTCAATCCATGACTGTTTCTGGGACACTGCTGTGCGTGATTGGCTTCCGCGTTTTGCCAACAAATACACAGTCACTCCGCTTTGCGGTATATTCTGTAATGCGCTTTGAAAGATGTGATAAGGTGCTATCAAATTCAAGGATTATCATTATTACAACCCAATCGATCTGATACTCAATTCAATTTAATCTGCTGGCCAAACTTTATGTAAAGTGTTGGTTTCTTAAAAGCAAAATTCCAGAGTAAGAGTGATCAGTAATAATGATTCCCAGGTCATTCTACTCTGATAATGTAATGTGTATTGGTGTTGTATCAAGATCCTTTTTGTCCTATTTTTAACAACATAACAAGCATCTTTGTGGCCTCTATGAAAAGGGTTGCTAACATAAGTGTTAAGGATGTATTGTGGATCCATGTTCATTTGAAACTCTGTTGGTGCTCACTAAATACAAGGAGGATCCTTATAGCCAGTAGAAAAACAACAATCTTATGTCTTTGTAACTTTTTTTAAACAATACGTTACTATACTATATTATAAATAATACTTTATTAAAAATCAACAAAGAATTCTAGAATTTGCTGAACTGTAATCACAGAAGATTCCCTAACGATCGGAGAAAAAAACTAAAGGTTTGGTTGGAATAATGTGGGCAAGTTTTCAACTATGACCAACGATGGCATCTAGCAAGTGGGACACCTGTGAAATCCAAGGATATATTTCCATTTCCCTTAAACAACGTGATTTTGAATGCTGCTGTACTTCATATTATTCATTTTATATTTTTCTCTTTTTGTTTATTGGCTTTATTCATTATAAATAAGCAAATTAAAAAAAAACTGTATAATTCAGTCCAGATAATCTACTTTATCTACACAAATTCTTTTGTTATCAGACATTACAGTTGAACGACATTCATGAATGTTAAAAGACTCTCATTACATGTTTATTACTCTACCTTGCATTATCCACCAATTCAGCCAATGCTCCAAAGAGGAATTCATGTGAGGTTCTGTAAATTAATAAAGTGAATGATATCCATCTGTTCACATCCTTTTGTTGGGTCTAAAATCTCACACAGAATACTAACCCCAAAATTCCACTGAGTCATAGCTTGTAAAATCATTTGCCTTAAAATTTAAGACTGTGCAGAATGTTGGAAAAGTCTTAAATCCAGTTTGCTGCAATTCTTCAAAAAAAAATGTTTTCCAAGTTAAGCCTGAATACAAAGCTTTTCTGTCATTCTGTGGGCTTTTCAAATAAAATGGTTATGATTAGGTGGAATTTTGAGCCCACTGGGCATATAAAATACACATGCAAGTACAAAATGTTCTCTCATAAGGCTGACAGCATATCCCGACTTTAAATTTCAATTTATTGTCGTAATCATAATTAAAGTCACAAAATAGTTATGAAAACTAAAATATGGAATACAATAGCTGGCTGTGTTTTTTTCTCTTTATTGACAATACTCTGGCAAGCACTGCTTTATGTTAAAACAAATGTGAGCAGAATTTGCATGAAACTCCCACCTGGCCAGAAAATATAGGCAAACACTCATGGACCATGGACTTCCTAAAGGTTTGCACCGAGCCAGAGCGGTCCAACAGCCGGAAGCATGGGAAATCTCTTAAATTCTCAAAGAACTGATTACGAAATCCATCACACAGTTTTTCCAAGAAAAACCCAGGAAAGATAAGAACTTAGGAATTTGCTAGTTGAAAGAAGATTCAGGTCCATCCAGTTTGCATTCCACCACCCTGGCAGTTTGCATTCCACCACCCTGGCACCCGCATGACAGGTCGTGTCCCAACTATATACTGTATCCTGAGATATTATTTCCAAACAGAAATCTACCTAATTTGTTCTTGAAAGAATCAATTTGTTCTTGAAAGAATTTTTGAATTCTTACTTACGAATTTGCATGAAGATAGTCGCAGGTCAGCCAAGCTCTGGATAATTCGCGGTACCTGTTTGCCATTTTCACTCTCACTTGTTCCTTGGCCCACCACGAGCAGATAGGGCCACAATTGAAGCTCCAAGATCCCTTTGAGTTTAACTACTTCCGGCGTCTACTTCTCTATGCGTCAAAGAAGATCTGTATAATGGCATTCTGGTCAGTATTGGCAGGATAAATGCTACTGACAATATTATTGTTATAATCAAGATTAGGATTAGTTTAACATTGTATAACAATATTAAAGTAATCTTCAGGATAACTGCAAAGTTCCTCGGAATGTGGGTTTCTGTGAAGGCCAGGAACAAGATGATATCATGGAAGACTGGTGGGTGAGTATAGTGGAAGAGCAAGATTTGAAAACGTGAGGCCAAAAATTGGCCACTCACTTCATAACTGTTTGTGGGACATTGATGGGCACACACATATATTATATATTGGTTACATTATATACATTATATATTATTAAAATAAATATTTTATATGAACAGTATATAAAAAGTTTCTTTCTGGTCAAATCAAAACTGGAGGCATTTTCAAAAATGTATACAATGAACATTAATTCCCAAGTTGGCCTTGTTACTAATCACTTTTTAACTGGTGGTGGAGGTTTTAATTCTTGCTGACTGTGGAGTTTGTGCAAACTTCTTTTGTTACTTTTTCCCCCCACCCTTCACACTTGAAATGACAGGAGGAGCTCTGACTGCGATCATTTAACTGCTTAATTAATTAATTATTTAACTGGGATGTCCTCCCGACTTGAAAGGCGCTATACAAATGTAATCTTGTTGATGTTGTTGTTGCTGCCCCCCTCACTACAGGCAGACAGACAAGACGCTCCAAGGGTAACTCACCATCCAACAACAACAACAACAAGATTCCATTTATAAAGCGCCTTTCACGTCAGGAGGACGTCCCAAGGCGCTGCACAGTTGGGTCAGGACCTGAGCAGGGGGGAAATGGTCAGGGTGAGGGGAGGGAAGGGAGGGAGCGAAGAGGGGGGAAATGGTCAGGGTGAGGGGAGGGAAGGGAGGAGCGAGAAGGGGGTAGAGAGTTGAGAGGGGAGCTGAAGGCACGGTCAAAGAGAAAGGTCTTGAGACCGGCCTTGAAGGAGGAAAGGGAGGAGGCGGCGAAGGCAGTGGGGGATGGAGTTCCAGAGCCTCGGGGCTGAGAGGCTGAAGGCCCGACCACCAATGGTTGGAGCGGGGGACGTGGAGCAGACCGGAGCCAGAGGAACGGAGGGTACGGGCAGGTAGGTAGGGGGATAGTAGGTCGGAGAGGTAGGAGGGAGCAAGGCCGTGAATGGCCTTGTAGGTGAGGGTGAGGATCTTGAAATCAATCAAGTGGGGATAGAAGACGAGAGGGACGGAGAGAGAGGAGGAGAGAGCGGGAGAGATGCAGAGGGGGGAGGGTTTGGGGGGAGAGAGGAGGGGGGCAGGAGGGAGGGGGTGAGGGGGCTCGGGTCCATTTATAAATGGAATCCACCCACAGGCTCACACCCACTCACATCCATCTACAACTCTCCCTAACTCACCATCCACACACAAGGTCATGTCCTCATCTGCCACACACAAGGTCACACCCTCTTACTATCCACACACAGGGTCCTAAACTCATCAGCTACACACAATGTCTCAATCTCATCGATTTTCTATTGCTGGCCAATAAATAACCCTTCCCATGGTAGATGTTACAGAATGTTGCACCCACTTCATGTGATGGGAGTTAGAAGAAAACAAAAGTAAAAACTTTCACATTTGGAAATGGTTACGATTGAAAGGAAAGGAATACAAAGCGGTTGAAATAAAGTTCAATAAACAGAAAGGTAGGAGTCAGGGAATACAGAAAATCAAAAGATAGAACACACGATTAAAAAAATGATGACAAAAAATTCATGTCACCTACACATTGTTCACTACAATGGTTGATGTATTTGCAGACGCCAATGCACAGCCCGCACAGGAATAAAATTAAGGAATGTTTATTCAACAACAGGAAGATTTCAGCTGGGTATAGTTACCACTCCGAGGAACAGAGGCGCAAGTTTAGGGAAATTGAATTTCTTCTTGTTCTCTTATATCTGATGTGTCTTTCCGGATCTGTTCCAAAAAGGCAGCAGCTACACCAGCTACATTTATACCCAACTTGTTAGTTTAGCCTTTCCCTCAACTCTTGTAGCTCCAAGTCCATCTGCTTTGTCTCACAGATGCCATCTTTGTCATTTTACGGTCTAAGATCATCTCATTTAAACTTTTCTTCTCTACATGACTTCACTAGTAAAAGCAAAGACATGAGATAAGGAAACTTTTTTCCCTAATCATGACCCCAAAGCCACCTGATTATCACATAAGAACATTTGATTTACTTCTCCCATAGGACAAGGACCATTTGGTAACCCATTCTTTCTCCTCATTAATGTATCAAACCAAGCAAGAAAAGAATAACAAGCATTAATCAGGTCTAACAACACATATTAATCAGGTCGAACAAGGTCACAAGGTTATCAATACAGTCTCACTTAAAGGCAAAGCAATACAAATGTTCAGTGACATACAATCATGAGCAAACTGTGTAGCGGTACAACAGCACACCTATAAATCCATCAGAAACAACTTATGTCAAGCACCAATTTAGGCTAAGATAATTCACCCACATTGCTTCAACAGGAAAATTGAAAATTCCCTTGAATGAAATAGAATGCACACTCTTTCTCCAGAGGGATGCACCCTGTTTAGGCACAGGTTGGCAAGAGCTAAGGCTTGGGGACCAAAGAGTGTGTGCTGGGGTACTACTGGAGTTTAACTGTCTAAAACTGCAAAGCTTGTCACTGAAGGCACTGTCTGGCAAGCGTCCCACTGCTTGTTCAGCTAAGAACATCCTACCCACTAGGACTTTATATAAATTTAAGTTTGTATGTATGAATTCCCTAAATTTCAATATTACTGGTGCACAATAAATATGTAACAAATAATTATTTACACTTAACATAGCACTGGGTCACATCTCACCCAATAAATATTGTACAACAAAGTAGACAGAGACTTGTATTCACAAAAAATGTTATTGAATTTTACTTCACAGAAAGAATTCAGGTAAACATTGGCACAACATTTGGTTGATTATAATCATACTTTTGAAATGAATATTCAGTGGTTAAAATCACTTCTGCAGCATCACTGAAACATAATAACTTTAATAATCTGAAGACAATCCAGTCAATGAATGAAGTTTTCAACCACTTTAAGAGGATCATATTCTATTACCATGTCCTTTTCCAAACGTATATGAGCTATCCGTAATGACAGTAAAACATTTTATATCTTGTTAGGAAAAGCAACACATCAATAGTAACCAAGCACTTTAATAAAAAAAATCTTAAATTCCCTGTAATATATTTTAAACAAAAATGTAATTGAAACTGGTTAAAAAAATAAGAACTATAAATAAGTCAAATTTTTAAAAATTACACATTTGAAAATATAATCATTGAGAAAAATAGCACATATAAATACCCACTTAAAAATGTAAAGAATTATTAAAATGAGCATAAAATAAAAATATTTTCTTATAATAAAAATACCATCCCACAACAGTTATTCTTTTCAAGACAAAAAAATACAAAAGATTTTCCAAGTTACAATAAAATTACATTGCCTTTTTGGTTAATAGTGTAACTTACTCAAAATTCTATAAAACCATAGATAAAAAATTATATTTACCACAGAGGTAGTTATCGTTAGCAATCATATATAGGTCACAGTCTGGATTGGGGCTCCATAGATGTCACAGTATTTTAAAAAAAGGTTCAGTGCAAATGAATATCAAACAACATTCAATAATCTCTTGATAGTGCAACTACTTGCATTATTTTTGGTGTTTAACAAGGTCCCGATCAAGTTAGATGGATGTTTTTTTAGAAGTTTCTCAGAAAATTCTAATAAGGCTTTTGAGCTCTTCTCTAAATGAGATGGTTTGACACTGCATCATTTCCCCCAAGAAAAGGAAATCATTTGACTACATTGTCTTGAAATACAGATCAAAATAAATTAAAAGAAGATCTGCATGAGGACAGCAACTAGCAAAGATGCACGGAAATCTGTTTAGTATCTTCTAACTGTTCATGATAAGGAAAATAAGTCTTGTAAGTGTGGGCTTACTGTACCAAGGTTGTGACCAGGCAATTGATAAAAATATGACAAATAACATTCAAAAAGATCTGGACCAATCTGGACCAGGAGAGGCTAGAGAAGCTAGGTTTATTCTCCTTTGAGCAGAGAAGGTTAAGAGGAGACTTAATAGAAGTTTTCAAAATTAGGGTGAACAAGGAGAAACTATTCCCACTGGCGGTGGGTTGATAACCCGAGGGCACTGATTTAAAATAGTTGTTAAAAAAACAGAGGGGAGGTGAGGAGAATTTTTTTTTCACACAATGAGTTGTTCGGATCTGGAATGCATTGCCTGAAAGGTGGTGGAAGCCGATTCGATAACAACTTTTAAGAGAGAAATAGATAATTATTTGGGGAGGACAAGTTTGCAGGACTATGGGGAGAGCACGGGGGAGTGGGATTGAATTGGATAGCTCTTTTCAAAGAGCCGGCACTGACACGATTCATCGTATAGCCTCCTTCTGTGCTGTATAATTCTATGATTCTATATGGGCTAAGGAGTAGAAGAGGTTCTCAAATATCGGTTAAAAGTAAGGCACTGGAACAGTAAATATACACATATAATAAATAGTTATCCATTAGCAGAGGTGGGGAGTTTGGGTTAGACTGTTTATCATTCGCTGAGTGATTCCAGCCAATGTGAAGCTGTTATCAACAAACAAATTGGATTATAAATTAAAAGCCTTCCCACCCCTCCTAAAGAGTTAACGAACAGTACAATAACATGACTGTCACTAAATAAGTGCCACAGTTACCCTACTACAACAACAACAATTTGGATTTATATAGCTTCCTCCACGCCAGACGGAGTCTCAGAGCGCTTCACAGTAATCGATCCTGGGGCCGAGGCAGGGGGAGGAGGAGGGGGAGGAAAGTGACCAAAGGCGTGGTCGAAAAGAAAGGTCTTCAGCAGAGACCTGAAAATGGGAAGGGAGGGAGCGAGACGAAGGGAGTGAGGAAGGCAGTTCCAGAGCCTTGGGGCATAGTGGCTGAAGGCACGGCTGCCGAGCATGGAGCGGAGGACTCGGGGGACGAGGAGGAGGCCAGACCTAGTGGAACAAAGGCAATGGATACTGTTGTGAGAAGAGGAGATCAGAGAGGTAGGGGGCTGCAGAGGAGTGGAGGGATTTGAAGACAAGGGTGAGGATCTTAAAGTCGATCCTCTCTGGGATAGGCAGCCAGTGCAGTCTGGCAAGAACAGGAATAATCGGGGAGTGGAGTTTGGTGCGGGTAAGAATGCAGGTGGCAGAGTTTTGTATGACCTGGATTTTATGGATGGTAGTGGAGGGGAGACCGGCAAGGAAGGCATTTGAATAGTCCAGCTGAGGGGTGACAAAGGCATGGACTAGGGATTCAGCAGCTTTCGGAAAGAGGTATTGGCGGAGACGGGCGATGCGTTGGAGGTGGAAGAAGGCGGTGCTGGTGAGGGACTGGATGTGGGGGAGGAAGGATAATTGGGGGTTGAACCTGACGCCTAGGTTGCGTACGGGTTCAGAGAGTTTTAGGGGGAGGTCGGGTAGGTGGAGGAGGTGAGAACCATGAGATTTTAGATGTTGACAAGAGCCAAAGAAAAAAAATAGGGAAAAAAATAGTGGCCACAGTAAAAGCACTTGGACTGGACTTAATGCATCCTTAGTTCAGCACCCTGATCAGCATTAGTCTAAAATGGGTGAAACTGTTGGAATCTGGACAACATATCAGGTCACATTGTAGAAATTACAGCATCCTTTGACATAATGTAATTAGATCTTGAAGCACTTTGTTTTGGGTGCAGTGGCATTTTTTCATGATGTTGTAAACCACCCAAAACAAGTAAACAGCCATTAAGCAGAAATTCTATTGCTACACAACTACATCCTAGCATCTAACCTAATTCGGGCTGTACGTATTACATTGGGTACAGCCTGAGTTAGGGTAAGCAATGTTAGGGTTAAACAGCATTGTAGCAGAAACAGTCCATGTTGGGAAGACAGATGTTAAGTATATTTATACCATAACATTTCTGGTAGTTTGCTATAGAAAAACTTCATCAACTATGTTGACCATTTTTCAACCCCATTGTTTTCAGTCGGATTTTCTTTCGAATTTTGAAGCACAATAACAGAGTACAGCTAGAGTTCACCCAATGCTTTGGTTTGAAGTCAAATTTCCCTTGGTTCAGCAAGTGATCGTTCTCACAAAGTCATCTGTCAAGAGATAAACAAATAAGCACAAACAATTTCAAATCATGTTTATTCTTTTACAAACATCACCGTCTGAACAAAAGGAAAATTTTGTAGCACATCATTGAATGTTCTGGGATTAGAATTTGTTCGTCAAGACTGGTACCTTTTGGTGAAATCTTCACTTTCTGGTCACAGTGTTAGTATACTATTCAATCACGAAAGACAACACAATTAAGATGAATTCTGTCATCCTGTGGTCACATATGTTCAATTTATACCAGAAGTTCTGTCTCTGGTGGAGGGGAGGGAGCAAGGGGAAAGGTGGGAGTGGGAGGGAGGGGAGGGGAGGGAGAGGTGACTGTAGGAGCAGTCAATAAGGTCAATATTTAGCCAGAACGGAAAGAAAGATAAGAGAGGGGGTGATGGAAAGGTAGAGGGAGGCAGTTCCAGAGGTTAGCAGCATGGTTGTTAAAGGCACAGTCACCAACGGCGGTGTGGAGGGGTTGGGGGGGATGCACAGAAAGCCCAAGTTAGCTGAGTGAAGGTGGGAGGATAAAGGGGGGGTTATAGGAGAAAGTCTCAGAGCTTGGGAGGTATTAGGGCATGAAGGGATTTCTGTAACACGGCGGTTGTCACGCTTGCCAATAGTGGGGCAGGCGAGGCAAGGTGTCGGACCTGGGTTGAATTTTCGGGCAGAGCAAAACCTGAGGCAAGTTTCCTTATTCCTCATGCCTCTGTTTACCTAGCAGTATTTATAAACCTAGTTGTTAGTCGATTGATGGATTGCTCTCTGGGGGTATTAATCGCTCAAAAAATAATAATGTCACTCAATCCACGACTGTTTCTGGGACACTGCTGTGCCATGTTTCACCCACAAAATACACAGTCAATCCATTTTACAATATATTCTGGGAAGCGCTTTGAGACATCGTGTTAGAAAATAAAATCAGCCATAATCCGTTTGCAACCAGATATCTGACTGTTTTATTATTATTTGTTCGTTATTGCCCATTATCCCGATGGGTCAGACCAAAGGCAGGTACAATCAACAGATCTTATAACAGAACAATACCACTGTAGATATCTCGAGTTCAACACTGTGTCTTACAATAATAATAATAATAATAATAATAATAATCCTTGCATTTGATATAGCGCTTTTCACGTCGGGAGGACGTCCCAAAGCGCTTCACAGAACACACTGTAAAGTGAATTGACTGTATATTTGTGGGCGAACACGGCAGTCAATTGCGCACAGCAATGTCCCACAAACAGTCATAGATTAAAAATGACCAATTTATTATTGTTTTTGGTTTTGGAGGGATTATTATTAGGCGTGTGGAGTAAGGAAACTTGCCCAAGGTTTCGCCCGGCCTGGAATTGAACTCAGGTCTCTCGCTTGCAAAGTGAGTGCTCTAACCACTGAGCTACAGGACTCCCTGAGGCAACCTGAGGCAGGACTTGTGTGTCTTTACAGCACACAAGCTTGATTCTTTATGCTTTCAGTCTTCTTGCTTACAGCTTTCAATCTTCTATCTATATCCTCAGTCTTAGTATTTTTAGCTCTCAGTCTTCCATCTCCCGTACCCTTGTCTCCGCAGCCCGGGATGACCCCATCTCCCATACTCTTGTCTCCGCGACCCGGGACGGCCCCATCTCCCGTACCCTTGTCTCCGCGACCTGGGATGGCCCCATCTCCCGTACTCTTTCTCCGCAGCCCGGGATGGCCCCATCTCCCATACCCTTGTCTCCGCAGCGCAGGACGGCCCCATCTCCCGTACCCTTGTCTCCGCGACCCAGGATAGCCCCATCTCCCGTACCCTTGTCTCCGCGACCCGGGCCGCCCACGTACACAAAGTTATCGGATGTTCGTCCAATCATGGTGTGGACATTAGATCACCTGGTCGAAATCATGCTGGGTTCACGTGAACCCTCATGGGATGTACGTGCCTCAGCACACACACACATTGTCCTTAATTGTCTAAGATAGAGGATTGATCAGTTTAGGACTGTATCTGGTTCTCATCATTTTGTGGTGTGGGATCATTAGTACATTCCTTTTAAGTGACTGGTTATTTCTTATCAGTATCCCGGGATGATACCAAGGTCCTCTAGTTTAAGCAACTTGCTCATCAGTTGCTATTCTTGAAGGTTGCCTTCTGTCACTTGGCAGGCCCTGTCAGAATCTAGCGACTTATTGCTAAGTCGAGATCCTGTGTCGACCGGTACCTTGGACCACTATCTCTGTGGGCGTGTTGTCATTTACTGATAAGAGGTGACCCCCTGCCCTTTTCCAAAGCTGTCCTGTTATTCTTTCAAAAACAGAGAAAACCAGATGTGTCCTATCCCATGACTGTCAGCCCAGTTGCCCCCCACACTTAACTTAAAAGTTAACTCGTTCACAACATCTATTATGATTCTAACATTATACAAAAAGTGTAAATTCTAACGATCGCAACAATATGATAAAGTGCAAGGATTATTATATTATAAGGGATTTATGGGTGACTGTGAGGACCTTGAAGTTGATCCCTTAGGAGCCAGGGAGCTAGTGGAATTTGTTGCAGGTGAGGATATAAGCTCAGTTTTGAATCAGCTGGAGCCTAAGGAAGGTGGAACTTGGGAGACCGGTGAGGAGTGCGTTTGATAACTCCAGTCATGAGGTACCAAAGGCATTAATAATAATAATAATAATATTTGCATTTGTTATAGCGTATAATCTGCGCGATGTCTCAAATTGGGTCACAGAATATACTGTAAAGTGAATTGACTGTGTATTTTGTGGGCGAAACATGGCAGCCAATTGCTCACAGCAGTGTCTCAAAAACAGCTGTGGATTGAAGTGACCAATTTATTATTTTTTTTGAAGGAATCATTGCCCCCGGAAAAGAGATCTGCCAATCGACTAACAATCGGGTTCCTACTTACTGCTAGGTAAACAGAGGCGTGTGGAGTAAAGAAACTTGCCCAACGTTTCGCCTGCCGGGAATCAAAGCCAGGTCTTTCGCTTGCGAGGCGAGTTTCTAACCACTGACCTACAAGACTCCACATTAATAAGGAAAGGAACTGAAATGCTCTTTTTCTCTCACTTGCAAGAAGACTAAATCGACGCCTTGCCTGCCCGCTCCACTATTAGCAGGCACTCTGCCCCCGCCCCCTTGAACTCCATCCTGCAGTCCCTCTGCCTTGCCGCCTCCCTTGTCTCCTTCAAGATTCATCTCAAGATCCTTCTCTTCAACCGTGCTTTTGATCTCCCTGCTTGCCCCGCCTGCCCTCCACCCTCCCTGATCCTGACCCCCAGCTCGGGTCCGAAACTCTGTCTGTCCACCGCCTTGGGACGTCCTCCCGACGTGAAAGGTGCTATATAAATGTAATTTTGTTGCTGTTGCTCACTCACTGTGATCTTACTTTCTCAATATAACAATATCTAAACCACAGTTTTGACGCTTCATTTACGAAAAGGAAACGAGGTTGCAAAATAGATTTCTGGAAACATTTGAAACAGAAAAAGGCTCTCATCATATACAACAGCAGCCGTAGGTAGGCTTGTAGATACTTACCATAAACCGTAACGTCATTGAAACGATTGCATTCCTTCAGGTCCTGGCATGTTTTGTGTGCAAGGGAACACATGATTTCATTGCAGCTGGGATCTGTACAAACTAAGAAAAGTAAAAAGTTAATTGGGCCGTGAAGGGTGTTATACAAATGTAATTTTGTTGTTGTTGTTGAAAATTAGTTCACTCCCCTGAAGTTAAATTTCTTGTAACTGGCTATGCTACCCTGAGACCAAAGTGGATCAAGTTTGAATCACCTGCTTTCCTTGGGTGTCTTATGTCAATTATATTTTTATAAGGAACTGGAATGAATGCATGTCTTGTAATGATTTACCTTTGTCCAAGTTCAATATAAATTGAAATGTTTTGTATGCCATGAATGTGGATCAATACTGTGCACAGGTAGTTGCCACATTCGCCTACAAATTACACAGTCCCTACATGATGCAGTATATCCTGTGAAGCGGTTTGAGATGTCCTCCTGATGTGAAAGGCACTATATCAAACACAAGGATAATGATTCTTAATAGCTTTGGTACCTGAACTGAGATAATTGTCACATCACACACTACATTTTCCTTTCCCCTCAGCCTCATTTGTGTTCAAACAAAAATTGAAACCCAGGGATCACAAACAGAAGAAGGTTAAAATAAAGTATTTTTTTTTAACTTTTTTCTATTTGTGATCCCTGAGTTTCAAGTCCTTTTTTTTAAATGCAAGGATTATTTTGGATCTCGAGAGACTGATGAACACGTACATTGGAACTTTCCAAAATAAAATAAAAATCAGAAACTTAATTCTTACCATCAGTGGCCAGGTAGTCGACAGCAAAGCCACTGGTGTAAGTTTCATTAGAGTGAAAGCGTATTTGCAAACTGGAGCTCTTACTGTACAGGAAAAATTGCTTGTGCTCGCTGAATCTGCAAACAAATAAAAAAAATGCCACCATTAACTCAATCATGGCTTACCGATCAGCATTATTATTTCTACTTTTGTTACCAATTTAGTGGCAGTCTGCCTCAGTTGGTAGCCCTCTCACCTCTCAGTCAGATTGTGGGTTCAAGCCCCATATTGGGATTTTAGGCTCAAAGCCTGTGCTGATATTCCACTGATGCTGCATTCGTGGAGGTACCATGGCTGTTTGTGTGCCTACACAATAACTACACTCTACAGTAGGTCCTGTGAAGTGCTTTGAGACTTTGATGATGTAATAAGGCGCTATATCAAACCCAAGGATTATTATTATTATTGTGAAAAGAAATTGCTGGAATTAAATTCAGCTTAATAAAACTTATTTTAAAATAATGAAAGGTGTAAGTATGTGGGAAACCTTTACATTAAAATGCTGATTTTACTTGTTCCTGTGTTTAGCAATAACTCAAAACATTAAATATGAATCATTTAGGCTATTCTCGTTTTGCTTGAATAAAACTCCACATGCAAATCAGGTTTATATACCTATGGCTGGCCAGGATGCCTACAAGTTAAACGTTTGTACCAGAAACAGTGCTTGAGTGGGAAGCGGAGGCAATTCTATACATACTAAGACTAGAATGTAGAACCTGGTCATCATTTATAGTTAATAGTTCTAAACTATTACAACTATACACTTGCTCTCATGAAATGATTCTTGGACTGTTCACCCAATACTGGTCCATGACTAGTCCATGACGAAAATGTTAGGCAAAGTTTTGAAAGCAGCATTGAACGTATCTTATTTAGGTAGTTGACACGAAACCATTTTATTTCTATTTTCTAGTAAAATGCTTCAAAGTAATTCTAATAATAAGTGTTTTTTTCAATTAAAAGATACTGCTGAAATGCTAGCTATTGGCATTTTCCACCTGCAGGATCAACCAATTATTAGCAGCTCTATGCAAAGGGTTATTTTTTAAAATAATAATCTAGAATGTAATATTTTACCAGGTAATATACACCTGTCTGTGTGTTAAGGTCTACCATCTTTGCCTGCCCAAGCGTAATGTGGTACAAATTACTATGCAGCAAAAAAGGCTACATAGCTGCTGATCACCAGTCAGTCATTGCCATTGGTAACAAATTGTAAGCAGATGAAAAAAACGATAGAGTGATAGAGCTGTATATTGTGCTCACCTTCGACCGTCAACCTCTATATGGTTTGATGCGAATGAAGCTCCAGCTTCTGCCAGGTCTTTGAAGAATACAACAATGCTAAAATGATCTGGAACCTACAAAATTGCGAAAATATAATTAGTCAGAGCTTTACTCCGTCAAGACTCTCTCTATTCCAATAACTAACAGTAAATTGATTAGCTGACTTAAACATATGCTAACCCATTGTTAAGATCAGTTTCAACCCCATTCTTAAGATTGATGGGTCTAAGATAACATCCTGCAAAGTTTCGGTGCAGAGTTGAAAAATAACATGCGAGTGAGGAAAGAAACTTGTTTACTTGTCTATTCATGCATGTGTTTCTGAGATTCAAGTGCAAGCCTGTAAGGGGGTGACTACTAGGTACTGTGAATAGGCCAGATCATTTCTGATGTGAGCACTGATGTGGGCTAGAAAAAACAAGGTCAATTTCCCGATGGCATGCCACCTTGATCCTTCAGAGCAAGCACAAAATATACAGTCAATTCACTTTACAGTATACTCTGTGAAACGCTTTGAGGCATCTTAATAACGTGACAAAGCGCTGTAACAAATGCAAGGATTATTATTATTATTATTATTATACAAGAAAGATTTTTCCTCTCATTTAGAGTTGCACAGGGCAATTTTAGGACAGCCAAAAGGAAGTTTTACTTTACTCAATGGGTGGAACAGATTGTCAAGAAGGATGTTTGAAGCCAGGACACTGGACTCGTTTAAAAACTATTTGATGAGGTGATGGGAACACAGTAGGGTGGGTGTTCTGGAAGAATAAGATCAGATACGCAGAAGGTATTTGCATGCTGTGTCGTTATTAGTTACCTTCAAAGTCCCCGTACAGCTGATTTCTACTGACTGAGAGTCAAGCGCTCTGGAACGCTACCCCGCGTGAAAGACACTATGTAAATGCAAGTTGTTGTTCTTATTAGTTACCTTCAATGTCCACGTACAGTTGATTTCTGCTGAATTAAAGTTAGGGTAACTGGGCGATACAAAACTCCCATTTATTCCGCTAAGGATACCACCACATTCTGTAAAAGAAAGGAAATTGAAACGTAATAATTTTTTTTAATATGTCTGTCTGATGTTGCTTTGAGAACTTTTATGAAATAAATTGCCCTGACTAATTGTGTTTAAATTAATGAATTCTAAATATAAAGCTGCCTCGAACCCCCAAATAAAATAACCAAGATTAAAATAACCAAGTTTATCCAAGATACAACAAGATAAATCCTTTTTATAAATAGATCCTTACCTGTCATTGGAACTTGTGAAAATGTAATTGAATATTGTGGAAGATCACATTCCCTTGTAGGGGTAATGGTCATTAAGAACACAGTCTCGGAAGCAATGACCTCACTAATATGGGGTACACCAACCTGCCTAAACCTATAGAAAAAAGGACATTAATTTATTAATAATAATCCTTCATTTGATACAGTGCCAACAATGTCAAAAAATGTAGCAGCATAATAGCACAAAGAAAATCTCATAAACCATGTTTCGATTTCATTTTGGCCAGGATAATGGGAGAAACATTTCAAGTAGTAACATGGGATCTTTAACATTGACCTCAAAAGGCAGACACGACCTCAGTTTAATCTTTCATCAATGTATTGGAGCATCAACGAAGGCTGTGAGTTCAAAGTTTCAACTTGGAGTTTGAACCCACAACCTTCTGACTGAGAGGCAAGAGTGACTGACTCGGCCAGGCTGATTATCACAAATTATTTGTTACTTCCAGACAAAATATGAGCAGTCCAAACTGCTTTTGGCAACTCACTATACACTTCTTCCTAAATCATCTCATCTCTGTTTTTTTGTTAAAATAGCATCGATCAGGATGTTTAAAGAAGAGATAAGTAATGACATTAAGAAGGGGTAAAATACACAGTGACTACACTATACATGAAATCCTGGGAAGTGCTTTGAGATGTCCTCCCGACGTAAAAGACGCTATATTAACACAAGGATTCTTTATTTTATCCATCTCTCCCTGGTTAGACTCCAGCAGTTGATCCAACCACACTCTGGGCTCTCCCCAAGCCTTGGCACTCGCCAACCTGCACCCAATACTCTCCGGAACGAGGCAAGCAGGATGCATCCCTCCAGGGAGAGAGAGTGTGCATTCTATTCCGACAATCCTTCTCTGGGATTTCCATGTCTACGTGGGATGCACGGAACTCTCAGCTGGGCTTGGAGACTCCCAAGCACGGCGATGGGTTTCCGCATGTGTCAGACACTCGGCTGACCCCCAAAAAATGGGGAGTCAGTGCAGCCGGCTGTGGATGCGAAAGGAGGTGAGGAGTAGGTCTGGAGGGGGCGAAGGAAAAAAAACCCTACACCCCCACCCCAACACTCCTCTCTCTTTCCCCCCCCCTCACTTGGCTCGGGCAAGCAGGTAGGTCACAAGATAGTCACATTGGGTTAGTGATGAATTGATGAGGCAAAGTCAAGGTCATAATGGGATGAGCATTGTGATACGAGGGTGAGCCGTGGGGTGAGGAGGAGATATGGTGCCCGTCTCCTCTCACTCACTCACTCGACTGAGCTGCTTACGCTAAGAGAGAGCTATCCTGGGTTCCTGAGATTTCCATAGACTCGAGATGGAGTTGAGAAGTTTTGTGACTAATGAGTTTAGCAAAGGAAAAGGTTAGAGCTTTTTTAGTATTAATAATTATTATTATTATTTATCTGAAGGCGTTATTACCTCCGGAAAGCAATCCGCCAATCGACAAACAACCAGGTTCCTACTTATCGCTAGGTAAACAGAGGCGTGAGTGTGGCGTTAGGAAACTTGCCTAAGGTTTCGCCCTGTCCCACCCGGGAATCAAACCCAAGTCCACTCACTTGTGAGACGAGTGCTCTCACCACTACACTAAGGGACTTGAGACGTGCCTTGAAAGAGGCAAGGGAGGGGGTGAGGTGAAGGGACTGTGCGATGGAGTTTCAGAGGGTGGGGGGCAGAAAGACTAAATGCCCGATCACCGATGATGGGGTGGGCCGGGCGGGGGATTTGGAGCAGGCTGCAGCCCGCTGAACGGAGGGAGCAGACACACACACGCTCTCTCTTGCTCACACTCATTCTCACACATTCTCTCTCACACACACTCTCACACACACACTCACGCACACTCTCTCACACGCACACTCTCACACACGCACACTCTCGCACACTCTCACACACGCACTCTCACACACGCACTCTCTCACACACACACTCTCACATTCTCTCACATGCACACTCTCACACACACTCTCTCACACACCCTTTCTTTTTCTCACATACTCTTTCTCTTACTCTCTCTCACACACACCATCTTTCTCACACACGCTCTCTCCCGCGCTCTCACACAGTCTCTCTAACACTTTCTCTCTCACACTCTCTCACTCACACTCTCTCCCTCTCTCACACTCTCTCCCACTCTTTCTCTGGCAGAATACACGGCTGTGGGGACAATGACAAACACGTCACAGAAACACAAGAACTTTGTGGGGGAGCCAATGAAAGAGAAATCAGTGAAGGAATTGCCGGGGATTGGCATTGTGCTGGGAGGGAGACTCGAGGAGAAAGGTTTCCTGAAGGTAAGTCACTTACCCTGGGGAGGGAGAGAGGAGAGGCGGTGGGGGAAGAGAGGGAGTGGGAGGGAGGGGGAGAGGGAGGGGGTGGAATAATAATAATCCTTTCATTTGATAAAG